ATATATATCAATTTATATGTAACAAAGGTCATTATTTATTTCAATGCCTCCGTTAGGAATAGATCCCTGGACCCCTGGCTTACTAATCTGACACTCAACTAATCGAGCTAAAGAGAAGTTCTCTCTAGCCGAGTGGTATATTGCAGCTAGTATTTTACCAGTGTTACATATATTGTGATACCTATGTTTTGAACATCACACCTGTCAGGTAAATGTGATTAGTATTCAGGGACCATCAACACCAGCAGAAAGGTTGATAGGTGATGACCTAAAATGTAAAAATTGATGTATACCTGCTACACAATGTGTTCTTAATTAAAGTTAAGACATTTTTATTGATATAGGTTGTACAGTGAAAATCAATTAGGGATGCCATACAAGGTGTTATGTTACATAATGTACATACAGGGATTAATCTGGACAAATTTATCTACTGGAAAAGGGTAGTATTCCTTAAATGGTATGTTTCCTCTGATGAATATAAAAAGATTTCCCATCAAGAAAATCTACTTAAGAGGGAAATTTTCCTCAAAGCTGGTCAGATGAGTATATCGTTACTTGAAATGTTTTTCAAATCATGCTACTGTGAGACAGAAATATCAATCTACGTCATCCTTGTCCTATTTTATTCCTGTAATTTTTATATATGTTAAGTATTTTAACTATATCCCACTTTTGAATTCTGACCAGAGGAGCTATCCAAAATTTCTCATCTCTCAAAATTGACCCAAAATTCCCCATTTTCCTCCTCAGTTCTAGCTTATAGACTGGATGGGCTTATTACAGGACAGTTGACAGCAGCTACATGAATCACCAGACATATGGACTTATAGGCCAAAATAGAATTTATTTTTTGTAGATTAAATCTTCACCTGACCCAGCTTTTTGTGTCTGATGAACTTTTTGGGCTATTGAGTTTTCAATCCATGCTCTGGTGAAGTTATGATCAAAATTCTTTAATCTCCTGGAAAAAATATGTCAAAAAGATAATATTGACACATTAAATGTTTGTGCTTATTGTAAAACTTCTTTTGACAGTAAAATGATTACCATTGAACTTATGATCAGTCACCATCCTCTTAAAACCATCAATGAAAAATTCTGTATCATAATGTTATACATTCATGTGGTATACCATAATAAAACTCTACTTAATTTCCTTGTCACTCAATCATCTACTTCCTGCAAGGTCTAACAAATTAATATTTAAGTGTTTTGTGATGTGTTCTTTTAGAATAGTTTTGATTTTCTTGCATAAAAGTCACACCCAGGTCTGATAATGACGTTTTAAGATTATCTATATGATATACCGTAATTTGACTCAATGGTTTCTTTATAGTGTTATACCTACAGAAAGTATTAGCTATTCAAATAGAGTCTCCAGGTATCAACAGAGATAAAACTCCTATGTCCATAAACAGATGTGTCAATGGACTATATAATACTGTATAGCACAGCTGGAATGTCACTGACTAATTAGGTTTAGAATCCCAGTATTTAGTGACCTGTTATAAGGTTCTGAAGTTACAGTCAGAGGTCTCAGTTCAGTTGCATTATACCTGAAAGTGTCCCTTTTCCTTCCTATACCAACTCTAGGCTAAGAAAACACTCTTGGTGAGTAATGTTGATGCTTGGATTCCTTGGATGATCATTTTGAAACTTCATGGTGGTGGTGATTTATGATTGTGTTAAAAATATGCAAAACTACATACAAAATTCTTCCATAACTCTAGATAGCCATTAAGTATTGTCAAAGTGAGTGGGTGGACTTATTACAAGGATAAGGAAATCACATGTTATTTGTTAATAATATTCCTGAACAGCAAGAGATTTAAGGGTAAATATAATTATGAGCAGGTATTGCAAAAATATACTGATGTATAAAAAACAGTGATTTAATTAAAGTCGATGAATGTAACAGTTGCTGGGTACATGTATATGTTTAGATATACTGTCAAAGTATCAGATTGATCAAATCAGAACAAACGAGAGTATATTACATAAAAAGCAGCATAAAGCCAATAAAGGATTAACGTTATATACACTAATTGACTGATCAACACACTCTATACAGACTAATTACTACATACTCTGTACAGACTAATTAATACATACTCTGTACAGACTAATTAATACATACTCTATACAGACTAATTAATACATACTCTATACAGACTAATTAATACATACTCTGTACAGACTAATTAATACATACTCTGTACAGACTAATTGATACATACTCTATACAGACTAATTAATACATACTCTGTACAGACTAATTAATACGTACTCTATACAGACTAATTAATACATACTCTACACAGACTAATTAATACATACTCTGTACAGACTAATTAATACATACTCTGTACAGACTAATTAATACATACTCTATACAGACTAATTAATACATACTCTGTACAGACTAATTAATACATACTCTGTACAGACTAATTGATACATACTCTATACAGACTAATTAATACATACTCTATACAGACTAATTAATACATACTCTGTACAGACTAATTAATACATACTCTGTACAGACCAATAATACATACTTTGTACAGACTAATTAATACATACTCTGTACAGACTAATTAATACATACTCTATACAGACTAATTAATACATACTCTGTACAGACTAATTAATACATACTCTGTACAGACTAATTAATACATACTCTGTACAGACTAATTAATACATACTCTATACAGACTAATTAATACATACTCTATACAGACTAAATAATACATACTCTGTACAGACCAAATAATACATACTCTGTACAGACTAATTAATACATACTCTGTACAGACTAATTACTACATACTCTATACAGACTAATTAATACATACTCTGTACAGACTAATTACTACATACTCTGTACAGAACAAATAATACATACTCTGTACAGACCAAATAATACATACTCTGTACAGACTAATTAATACATACTCTGTACAGACTAATTACTACATACTCTGTACAGACCAAATAATACATACTCTGTACAGACTAATTAATACATACTCTATACAGACCAAATAATACATACTCTGTACAGACTAATTAATACATACTCTGTACAGACTAATTACTACATACTCTGTACAGACTAATTAATACATACTCTATACAGACTAATTAATGCATACTTTGTACAGACTAATTATACATACTCTGTACAGACTAATTAATACATACTCTGTACAGACTAATTAATACTCTATACAGACTAATTGATACATACTCTGTACAGACTAATTAATATATACTCTATACAGACTAATTAATACATACTCTGTACAGACTAATTAATACATACTCTGTACAGACTAATTGATACATACTCTGTACAGACCAAATAATACATACTCTGTACAGACTAATTAATACATACTCTGTACAGACTAATTACTACATACTCTGTACAGACTAATTAATACATACTCTATACAGACTAATTAATACATACTCTGTACAGACTAATTAATACCTACTCTGTACAGACCAAATAATACATACTCTGTACAGACTAATTAATACATACTCTGTACAGACTAATTAATACATACTCTATACAGACTAATTAATACATACTCTGTACAGACTAATTAATACATACTCTGTACAGACTAATTAATACATACTCTGTACAGACTAATTAATACATACTCTGTACAGACTAATTAATACATACTCTGTACAGACTAATTAATACATACTCTGTACAGACTAATTACTACATACTCTGTACAGACTAATTCTGTCATTCACTCCTGGATGGTACATCCGGAATTAATACATACTCTGTACAGACTAGTTAATACATACTCTATACAGACTAATTGATACATACTCTGTACAGACTAATTAATACATACTCTGTACAGACTAATTAATACATACTCTGTACAGACTAATTAATACCTACTCTGTACAGACTAATTGATACATACTCTGTACAGACTAATTTATACATACTCTGTACAGACTAATTAATACATACTCTATACAGACTAATTAATACATACTCTGTACAGACTAATTAATACATACTCTGTACAGACTAATTAATACATACTCTGTACAGACTAATTAATACATACTCTATACAGACTAATTGATACATACTCTGTACAGACTAATTAATACATACTCTGTACAGACTAATTAATGCATACTCTATACAGACTAATTAATACATACTCTGTACAGACTAATTAATACCTACTCTGTACAGACTAATTAATACATACTCTATACAGACTAATTAATACATACTCTGTACAGACTAATTAATACATACTCTATACAGACTAATTGATACATACTCTGTACAGACTAATTAATACATACTCTGTACAGACTAATTAATGCATACTCTATACAGACTAATTAATACATACTCTGTACAGACTAATTAATACCTACTCTGTACAGACTAACTAATACATACTCTATACAGACTAATTAATACATACTCTGTACAGACTAATTACTACATACTCTGTACAGACTAATTGACGAATATAATTGTAATATTCTGAGTACCAAAGTATTGATCCAGGTAACAACATTTGTCCCTGTTTACATGGTAGATGATTTGTAATTTCTTCTTACATCAAATTATTATAAACAAATGGTAATTCACCTTTCTCTGACTACCTTTTCTTGCCCTATTGTAGTTAAGATAAAAATGTAACCAGTTCAACCTGTAGTATGCAACACTGACTTTTAAAGACAATTCTGTATGTATAATATATATACAGTCGTCAATCCAGCTGAGTATAGTAAACACATCAGTCAATGCTTGCTCTGACATTTTGTTCTAATATAACAGACAGTCAGAACTTCCCATATGTTGTTATTTATGTAAAGATTGGGTAATTTAATTTCTTAAATACCACTTACGTGTTTTTAGGTGGTGTGACATAGTTACCTACCCTTAACGTACATCACATGGCACACGATGGTCGGATGCTGTTACCATGGCAGTGAGTAAATCTTCGCTGGAAGATTACTGGACAGAGTTCCATGAAATTGAGAGTAATAAAGACCCAGATGAGGAAGAGGAAGAGGAGGAACTCCCTAAAACTCCAGATGGTATTGTAACCTAGTAGCATGTTTGTTTCTCAGAAATGGATAGGATTCATCAGAGTTGTCATCATCTATAGAGAGGACATATTAAACTTCCTCAGGAATTCATTGGTGTTCTTACAGAAATCTTTAAAAAAAATCTTCAGTCAGAATTTTTGTGTGGCTTTTTATAAATAAGTAAAAATTGCATACGTAGTGTCATATTGTCCATAGATATAAATGACATTGGAGTTATAGTGACAGAGAATAGTGCTACCACACTGAAATGTGATCTTTAAATCACTCTAAGTACACACCAGTCACATAATACTGACTTATAAAGTCAGGCCTTTAGTATCCTTTGATTATACTGACAAGTTGTTCACCAGTCACATAATACTGACTTATAAAGTCAGGCCTTGTGTATCCTTTAATTATACTGACAAGCTGTACACCAGTCACATAATACTGACTTATAAAGTCAGGCCTTGTGTATCCTTTGATTATACTGACAAGCTGTACACCAGTCACATAATACTGACTTATAAAGTCAGGCCTTGTGTATCCTTTAATTATACTGACAAGTTGTTCACCAGTCACATTATACTGACTTATAAAGTCAGGCCTTGAGTATCCTTTGATTATACTGACAAGTTGTTCACCAGTCACATTATACTGACTTATAAAGTCAGGCCTTGTGTATCCTTTAATTATACTGAGTGACAAGTTGTTTGGAGTACAATCAAGTATAATTTTGATGACTCTTATTTGTCATTGCTTGGAATCAGAACCTTCCCTACGACGAAGGACGATCAAGGTCAAAAGTTGGGTAATGTCAAGATGAATAATAAAAAGAAAAAAATGTCTTAGTTTAGGATCAACGGTTAAGATGGATAACCAATTTAGTTAAATCACCTTTACTATTATGCTCTCATAAATGATGGAAACTTGTGCAGTTCCTTAATATGCCTGCCTTCCAGGACATGTAATAACTGTGTACATGTGTTGACAGAATGTGCTTATACACACAATTCAGTTTCATGATTACGCATTCATGGTTTCGAGTGTAGACACCCACAGATGTAATTGTATCCATTATAATGGTATAGACCAACTCTTTGACATGTCACCACTACTTTTTTTCACTATTTCGTCATTACAACAAGTTCGTGCTTTGAATGACTATGGAATGGTGTATGGTATCATATTAAATGGCTTTGAAATATTGAAAACTGAATCAGATAGCAAATTAATGTCACATTGAATTGGGATGAATTGTTTCACCCCTACTCAAAATAGATTACTTGTATCTTTGATATATTATACTACTACATGATGCCTGTCTCAATTTGCAGCTATTAGGTAAATTAATTTGTTTAAATTGTGAAATTTCTTAAAGTTTTAATTGTCTAAAGTTAATTTATAAACACAATAATGTTTAAATGGCATAAAAAAGGAAAACTGGTATTCAAATTAATGTAATTTGAGGTAGAATGGAACTCTCTGTATCACGTTCAGTGTAATGACAGTTGTGATTTTTAATTTAACATATGTAGGATAGAATTCTGTGATCAAATCTATAATGTAGCCATATCTGGGTACAGGGGAACAGGAAGCCAGATGGCTCAAGGAGGTCGGATTGGATGCCGTCGTCAATCGAATCAAAGGTATGACGGTGAATAATGTAGATATTTCTATATATCTGACTTCATTTTGTTGATGATTATCCAATTTTAAATATTCCATCTTGTTTGGATTCTATGATAGGCATTATGTGTATGTATACATTTACATGTAGATGTATTAAGTTTTTCTGTGTGTTAAATTTGAAGTTTTCATTAAAGATACAGAAATCAGAACTATAATTTTTACATTGATATCAATATAATCTATGAGAGACTGATCTGATCTCAGAGAAATTGAATCTTCTCAAAAATAAAATTTAACATTTATATTTCTATCAGATAAGTTAAAATGTACAGATCAATCACCTAACTCCACAAACCAGAATCTTAGCTGACTGGCAACTGGAAAAAAAAGTACAAATTAGTGAGGGTTAGATAGTGGGAGATACCAATTAGTGAGGGTTAGATAGTGGGAGATACCAATTAGTGAGGGTTAGATAGTGGGAGATACCAATTAGTGAGGGTTAGATAGTGGGAGATACAAATTAGTGAGGGTTAGATAGTGGGAGATACAAATTAGTGAGGGTTAGATAGTGGGAGATACAAATTAGTGAGGGTTAGATAGTGGGAGATACAAATTAGTGAGGGTTAGATAGTGGGAGATATAAATTAGTGAGGGTTAGATAGTGGGAGATACAAATTAGTGAGGGTTAGATAGTGGGATATACAAATTAGTGAGGGTTAGATAGTGGGAGATACAAATTAGTGAGGGTTAGATAGTGGGAGATACAAATTAGTGAGGGTTAGATAGTGGGAGATACAAATTAGTGAGGGTTAGATAGTGGGAGATACAAATTAGTGAGGGTTAGATAGTGGGAGATAAATTAGTGAGGGTTAGATAGTGGGAGATACAAATTTATGAGTGTTAGATAGTGGGAGATACAAATTAGTGAGGGTTAGATAGTGGGAGATACAAATTAGTGAGGGTTAGATAGTGGGAGATACAAATTAGTGAGGGTTAGATAGTGGGAGATACCAATTAGTGAGGGTTAGATAGTGGGAGATACAAATTAGTGAGGGTTAGATAGTGGGAGATACCAATTAGTGAGGGTTAGATAGTGGGAGATACCAATTAGTGAGGGTTAGATAGTGGGAGATACCAATTAGTGAGGGTTAGATAGTGGGAGATACCAATTAGTGAGGGTTAGATAGTGGGAGATACCAATTAGTGAGGGTTAGATAGTGGGAGATACAAATTAGTGAGGGTTAGATAGTGGGAGATACCAATTAGTGAGGGTTAGATAGTGGGAGATACAAATTAGTGAGGGTTAGATAGTGGGAGATACAAATTAGTGAGGGTTAGATAGTGGGAGATACAAATTAGTGAGGGTTAGATAGTGGGAGATACAAATTAGTGAGGGTTAGATAGTGGGAGATACAATACAAATTAGTGAGGGTTAGATAGTGGGAGATACAAATTAGTGAGGGTTAGATAGTGGGAGATACAAATTAGTGAGGGTTAGATAGTGGGAGATACAAATTAGTGAGGGTTAGATAGTGGGAGATACAAATTAGTGAGGGTTAGATAGTGGGAGATACAAATTAGTGAGGGTTAGATAGTGGGAGATACAAATTAGTGAGGGTTAGATAGTGGGAGATAAAAATTAGTGAGGGTTAGATAGTGGGAGATACAAATTAGTGAGGGTTAGATAGTGGGAGATACAAATTAGTGAGGGTTAGATAGTGGGAGATACAAATTAGTGAGGGTTAGATAGTGGGAGATACAAATTAGTGAGGGTTAGATAGTGGGAGATACAAATTAGTGAGGGTTAGATAGTGGGAGATACAAATTAGTGAGGGTTAGATAGTGGGAGATACAAATTAGTGAGGGTTAGATAGTGGGAGATACAAATTAGTGAGGGTTAGATAGTGGGAGATACAAATTAGTGAGGGTTAGATAGTGGGAGATACAAATTAGTGAGGGTTAGATAGTGGGAGATACAAATTAGTGAGGGTTAGTGGGAGATACAAATTAGTGAGGGTTAGATAGTGGGAGATACAAATTAGTGAGGGTTAGATAGTGGGAGATACAAATTAGTGAGGGTTAGATAGTGGGAGATACAAATTAGTGAGGGTTAGATAGTGGGAGATACAAATTAGTGAGGGTTAGATAGTGGGAGATACAAATTAGTGAGGGTTAGATAGTGGGAGATAGTGGGAGATACAAATTAGTGAGGGTTAGATAGTGGGAGATACAAATTAGTGAGGGTTAGATAGTGGGAGATACAAATTAGTGAGGGTTAGATAGTGGGAGATACAAATTAGTGAGGGTTAGATAGTGGGAGATACAAATTAGTGAGGGTTAGATAGTGGGAGATACAAATTAGTGAGGGTTAGATAGTGGGAGATACAAATTAGTGAGGAGATACAAATTAGTGAGGGTTAGATAGTGGGAGATACATATTAGTGAGGGTTAGATAGTGGGAGATACAAATTTTTGAGGGTTAGATAGTGGGATATCCCAAATTAGTGAGGGTTAGATAGTGGGAGATACAAATTAGTGAGGGTTAGATAGTGGGAGATACAAATTAGTGAGGGTTAGATAGTGGGAGATACAAATTAGTGAGGGTTAGATAGTGGGAGATACAAATTAGTGAGGGTTAGATAGTGGGAGATACAAATTAGTGAGGGTTAGATAGTGGGAGATACAAATTAGTGAGGGTTAGATAGTGGGAGATACAAATTTATGAGGGTTAGATAGTGGGAGATACAAATTAGTGAGAGTTAGATAGTGGGAGATACATATTAGTGAGGGTTAGATAGTGGGAGATACAAATTAGTGAGGGTCAGATAGTTAGTGAGGGTTAGATAGTGGGAGATACAAATTAGTGAGGGTTAGATAGTGGGAGATACAAATTAGTGAGGGTTAGATAGTGGGAGATACAAATTAGTGAGGGTTAGATAGTGGGAGATACAAATTAGTGAGGGTTAGATAGTGGGAGATACAAATTAGTGAGGGTTAGATAGTGGGAGATACAAATTAGTGAGGGTTAGATAGTGGGAGATACAAATTAGTGAGGGTTAGATAGTGGGATATACAAATTAGTGAGGGTTAGATAGTGGGAGATACAAATTAATGATGACTGGTAGTTGATGGTGGTATGAGATTGGGAAAGCTGGATAAGTTTAGTGTGATAGTCGGATTAGAGATTGCCAATTGAAAACTAAAAGACTTAAATATTCAAACTACACAGATGGACATGGCCTGACAGATGATGAAATGGAAGCTGTCACAGCGACTTTGACATCCAGTCAGGCTGCTGTGGTAAAGCGACGCGTGGACACCCTCAGTACTACAATGCGTAAACGACAGAAGCAGAACAAAACTGATGTGCGGGATATCTTCCCGACCCAGGAGACAGTCAATGGGGTGAGTACCTGTGAACTTGTTAGTTTTCACAGCTCCCCCTTTAATTAGCAAAATATGTCTAGTGATTTCATTGTCTACAAGTCTGTCACTCTTTTCTATTTGTTTATATGAAGGAGAATTTCCAAAATGCTTATGTTCAAGGTGTCTCAAGAATCCCTCAACAGATTTAGTAAAATAAATAAAAAATGTCTGTGAATGGAGATATTTATCATCTTGTGTACGATTTACAATGTCTTGCTGTATTGTTGAATTTTGGTTATGCTTCAGGGCTTGTATGGCAGTCCAGGATCATTCCATCGACTGTCCGGTGGATCTATTGGGGAAGGACAGACAACTTCTGACCAGGTGATCCTGAGGCAAGGCAGTAAAGCCAAGGACAGGTCATTCATAAAGAGGGGAGTTTACTCTATGTCTGGGAGAAAGACAGATGAGGCTGTGAGTCCAGATCAAACAGGTACAAATGTTACATGGTGTAATGTAAAAGTCACCAGAAGAATAGTCAAGCGACAGTATCATAAAACAGAATGAATGATTCTAATGTAATGATTTAGTTGTCATCAACACTGTGTTCATCAAAGCAAAAAAAGTATACCTTGATATCTTAATAACCCCCTAATTTCAAGGTTAGGGACTTTCAGAGTTAAGCATTGTCTGTCATTCTGTCAACCTGACATTCAGTCATTTTTTTAATTTCTATTTCACCTCATTGATTCTGAAACAGACACAGAATATTATACAGAATAGTTGTTACTTGAGATATTGTTGTATAATAATGATATGGAGATCAACGCCTGGTTTAGTTATGTGCAATTAATATTTTCCATAGCCATGGCCATTTTAAAATCTAATGCTTTCTGAATTTTATTTAAGGCCTTTACTACAAAATTATTCCAGAAATTAAAAAAAAAATTAAGAAATGAAAAAGAAAAAGCAAAAACCTGCAAGTAAATTGAATTAAAATTTTATTTCAGATTCTTAAATACCATTGACTCCACAAGGAGAACTTAAATTTTATTTCAGATTCTGTGCCAATAATTTTGCAGGCCACACACCAGTTCCATTTCTGACTCAATTCCACTTAAGATTCTGCAGGCAGAACTTGAGTTTTACTTCATGAGATATGTGAACACCTGTTAACAATAAGCCAATGAACACGAAAGAGTTCCTTTTACTTCATTGCGACGGTGGCATTTGTGTCTCTCTGACTAATACATATGATCATAATCAACAGGTTGTCAAGGAAATCAAGATACATCTTTCCATCTGTTGAAACGCTATGATTTCAGTTTCCATTTCTGGATAGCAACAGTTAACATCCCCAACCTATGGTGTTTACATCTCACAGTTGATTCAAGGTGGACTGTTCCCAATATCATGATTTTTGTGTAACATGTTAACAAATGACAGACAAACTAGCAAAACTCTTTCTTGATAGATGAGATTGATGAAAATTACAGGGAAGTTTTACTGTCATCATAGTGATCTCATTTAAAAATATTCTACTTTTTTGTGTGATATAAAGCTGGATGTGTTTGATGCTTGTTAGCTTGCCTGTTGGTTCCATTGTTGTATACCTTGTTCTCATTTGGTTGGTGTTGTCAATGAAGCACAAGACACTTACACTTTGGAACACCTGATCTTTCATCCTCTATGTACTTTTTTAGGTGTCTCTGTGAAAGTCCTTCTTTTGGTGATGTTTTGCCTTAATTTTAATGATTTTGAGCTTGAATTATGATTCTGTTCACATGTTGGTATTTTCTTGTTGTTCATATAAAGATATGTAAATCATTTTACTATGTATAGAAGAACAGGCAATATAGGTTTCACTTTCAGAGTTGTATCTGTATTTGGTAGATGTTTTCTATAAACTCATATTCATAAGAAAAATGACAGAGGACACTTTATTGAAGAAAAACTAAAACTTTGCTTTTATTAATGCAGGAATAGAAATGTTAAGTGTCCACCCTAAGAGATCATATCACCATCCTGTAGCTGAGAGGCTGTCTGGAGGAGGCCTCCCTCCCATATCCGATCACGAGGACATTATGTTTGAACTAAAAACTGAGGAGTCTAGTCGCTACATTAAGGACCAACAGAGGGTAGGTATATAACTAAGTGTGAGGGATGGTTGGATGGTGCAGTGGTAAGGCATGCGCCTTTCACCTAGCCGTCCGGGGTTCGATTCCCAGAATGGATGTGAAAAGGTATGGGGTCACCTGCCCGACCACGTGGGTTTTTCCCATGTTCTCTGGTTTCCTCCCACAATAAGACTCCTCGCACGCTTACATCCGGGCCAACAAGAGTGATTAGTATAAGTTGAAATAACTTGTTTCGCAATTGTTGTAAAATGAATAAAGACTATATTTATTTATTTAACTATGTGTGAACAGCCATGTAGCAACAGATAAGAAGTTGATGAGGCCATTTTTTTTTTATTTTCCTGTAAATGGGAGGTGAAAAGAAACGTTTTTGTGTGAAAGAATCCACTGAAAAAGATATGTTATGCAATTCAGATAGTGCCACAGTTTATAATTATACATGTTCTTGACATTCTTTTGAAACTAAGTATTAAAAATTGTGAAATATAATAAATTTCAGGGTTAGAGCTCTTTCCCATTTGGTTTTTGAGATTTCTTTTCACCAGTTTTGATTTGTCTTCACATTATCAGTTTTAGAATTTAGGTCCTTTGCCTCACTTATCTCCGAAGGGTGAAACTGCTGTATAAACACCTTTAATTTATTATCTAACTAATACTCTAATTGCCACATTGTATTGATATGTGCAAACCACTTTTATGTCTTTTGTACTATGATCTAGCATTGCATCTTTTGGTAGTTCTAGAAAAAGTGATCTGCAACACTTTAGTAAAACTGGTAAACGTATTATATCTCACAACAAGATTTTATTGTGACCTCCTCTGGAGCTGTTCTGGAAAACTTGCTTCTTAAATTTCACTGTTGTTTTCCATGTTGGCTATCAGTCAGGACCAAAACAGAAAGTGGGAGACAATTTACCAGTAAGTGTCTCTTTAATATTATTGCACCTACCAGTAATACATTTTTCACTATCAGCTTTTGACAAGGACTGCATATTACTACAAATCATTATAGAACCTGATACATTTTTCAGTATCTGTTTTGACAAGGACTACATATTACTACAAATCATTATAGAACCTGATACATTTTTCAGTATCTGTTTTGACAAGGACTACATATTACTACAAATCATTATAGAACCTGATACATTTTTCAGTATCTGTTTTGACAAGGACTACATATTACTACAAATCATTATAGAACCTGATACATTTTTCAGTATCTGTTTTGACAAGGACTACATATTACTACAAATCATTATAGAACCTGATACATTTTTCAGTATCTGTTTTGACAAGGACTACATATTACTACAAATCATTATAGAACCTGATACATTTTTCAGTATCTGTTTTGACAAGGACTACATATTACTACAAACCATTATAGAACCTGATACATTTTTCAGTATCTGTTTTGACAAGGACTACATTTTACTACAAATCATTATAGAACCTGATACATTTTTCAGTATATGTTTTGACAAGGACTACATATTACTACAAACCATTATAGAACCTGATACACATATTACTACAAATCATTATAGAACCTGATACATTTTTCAGTATCTGTTTTGACAAGGACTACATATTACTACAAATCATTATAGAACCTGATACATTTTTCAGTATCTGTTTTGACAAGGACTACATATTACTACAAATCATTATAGAACCTGATACATTTTTCAGTATCTGTTTTGACAAGGACTACATATTACTACAAATCATTATAGAACCTGATACATTTTTCAGTATCTGTTTTGACAAGGACTACATATTACTACAAATCATTATAGAACCTGATACATTTTTCAGTATCTGTTTTGACAAGGACTACATATTACTACAAATCATTATAGAACCTGATACATTTTTCAGTATCTGTTTTGACAAGGACTACATATTACTACAAATCATTATAGAACCTGATACATTTTTCAGTATCTGTTTTGACAAGGACTACATATTACTACAAATCATTATAGAACCTGATACATTTTTCAGTATCTGTTTTGACAAGGACTACATATTACTACAAATCATTATAGAACCTGTTTTGATACATTTTTCATTATAGAACCTGATACATTTTTCAGTATCTTTTTTGACAAGGACTACATATTACTACAAATCATTATAGAACCTGATACATTTTTCAGTATCTGTTTTGACAAGGACTACATATTACTACAAACCATTATAGAACCTGATACATTTTTCAGTATCTGTTTTGACAAGGACTACATTTTACTACAAATCATTATAGAACCTGATACATTTTTCAGTATCTGTTTTGACAAGGACTACATATTACTACAAATCATTATAGAACCTGATACATTTTTCAGTATCTGTTTTGACAAGGACTACATATTACTACAAACCATTATAGAACCTGATACATTTTTCAGTATCTGTTTTGACAAGGACTACATTTTACTACAAATCATTATAGAACCTGATACATTTTTCAGTATCTGTTTTGACAAGGACTACATATTACTACAAATCATTATAGAACCTGATACATTTTTCAGTATCTGTTTTGACAAGGACTACATTTTACTACAAATCATTATAGAACCTGATACATTTTTCAGTATCTGTTTTGACAAGGACTACATATTACTACAAACCATTATAGAACCTGATACATTTTTCAGTATCAGCTTTTGACACTGACACCATGAATATTTTTTTATCATTTCCTGGAGACTGTTTATTTAAAAGTTTTTGGATTTAACCTAGATTCAAAACTAAGTTAGTAACTTATATATTCTTGGATGATGAGGCCCTCTTAAATAAATGATGTTGAATCACTTTCAAATTGACATGGTTCAAATGTGTTGAATTCTTCAAAAATTTTGTTGAATAACAATAAGACAATAATATGGTCACGCTCTGTGGCCAGTAGCATGCTGAAATGACTACCAAGGTTGTCTTTATGAATTACTTGGACACTCTATTAAGGCAAAAGAGTCATATGTGTTAAAATCTTCAAATAATGATAATATGTTGAAAAGGTGAAAAAATCCTCATTAAATACTCCTGGTGCAGAACTGATCTTCAAAAATAATAACTCTGAAATGAATATATGCAATGCCTTCCTTACATTTTGTCTTAAACTAATTACTTTTTCATTTACACAGTCAATAATTTTGTTTACAGAATTTTACACTAGTAAAAGATAAGTTGGGAGTGACACAGATGAGTGACCTTGGCTCCAGTGACATGTCACAGATAAGGTCACTTGCTCTTCTAGAACTTACCTCTCTGTTCGATAATCATAACATTACCTACAGACACCGAAAGGCAAAGAAAAGAGTGAAAGGTAGGTTTGTGGCTATCCCAAGCGTTAAAGGTATGTTTGGGTCTAGCCTTGGGAGAAAGGTGTGTTTGGGTCTAGCCTTGGGAGAAAAGTGTGTTTGGGTCCTGCAGAGACGTAGAAGGGGTACGTTTTAGTCTTTAAGACAAGAGTGAAAAGTAGGTTTGAATGTAGCATAGCAATAAATCTATGTAGGTTTAAGTTGGGATGAAACGTAGGTTTGAGCTCCAACAAGGGGTGGGATAGGAAGTGTTCAAGCTGAAATAGGTAGGTTCTAATCTAGCACAGGGGTAAAACAGGTATAAAAGGAAGGTTTGAGTTAAACATATGGGTGAATTGTTATCATTCCTAACCCAACAAAATTGGCGAGGGATATTCAACTGGGTTCTGTCCATTTTTCCGTCCGTCCATCTGTCCTTCCATCTGTCCCTTCATCTGTCCTTCGGTCTGTCTTCATGCATGATATCTTTTGAAGGACTAGTTGGATTTTGATGAAACTTGGTTGGTACACTTGTTACCTTAATCTCTTGCCCAAGTTCGCTTAACAGCAAATTCTGCTCATATCTAATGAGGCTGCTGTGACCTGATTAACTGATTTCTTTCTATCACTATATTGGAAATTTTTCTACACATTATCTTTTGATGGAATGATAAGATTATTTTAGGAATTTTGCTTTGCATACTCATTACCTTAATTCCTTGTTCAGGTGTGATTATCAGCAAATTTTGCACATATTTAATGAGGTTGCAGTGACCTGATCGGCTGATACCTATTCCAGTTTTCCATATTGCTCACTTTAAATATATATGTTTCACAAATGAATATGGGCAGGGGATCTGAATGACTATGTACTTGTTGAGGTTTGAGTTCAGTGCAGGGGTTAAAGGTTACTGATGTTTGAGTTCAGTGCAGGGGTTAAAGGTTACTGATGTTTGAGTTCAGTACAGGGGTGAAAGGTTACTGAGGTTTGAGTTTAGTACAGGATTGAATGGTTATTGAGGTTTGAGCTCAGTCTAGGGGTGAAAGGTTACTGAGGTTTGAGTTCAGCACAGGGTGAAAGGTTACTGAGGTTTGAGTTCAGTGCAGGAGTGAAAGGTTACTGAGGTTTGAGTTCAGTGTAGGGGTGAAAGGTAACTGAGGTTTGAGTTTAGTACAGGATTGAATGGTTATTGAGGTTTGAGCTCAGTCTAGGGGTGAAAGGTTACTGAGGTTTGAGTTCAGCACAGGGTGAAAGGTAACTGAGGTTTGAGTTCAGTCCAGGGATGAAAGGTTACTGAGGTTTGAGTTCAGTCCAGGGATGAAAGGCTACTGAGGTTTCAGTTTAGTACAGGATTGAAGGGTTATTGAGGTTTGAGCTCAGTCTAGGGGTGAAAGGTTACTGATGTTTGAGTTCAGTGCAGGTGTGAAAGGTTACTGAGGTTTGAGTTCAGTGCAGGAATGAATGGTTACTGAGGTTTGAGTTCAGTACAGGAGTGAAAGGTTACTGAGGTTTGAGTTCAGTCCAGGGGTGAAAGGTTACTGAGGTTTGAGTTCAGTGCAGGGGTGAAAGGTTACTGAGGTTTGGTGACAGAACAGGAGTGAAAGTTTACTGAGGTTTGCAAAATTCCTTAGGTTTGACTCAATGATGAAATGACTAGAAGAGATGATTTACATGGGTGAAAAGTATGTGTACATCTGTTACCCTTAAGGGGAAAATGTATCTGTCAGTACCATAAGCATTACATCAGTGTCCGACCAGGATTGAATTTGTCACTGCATATGGGTCCAGACAGTGTCCAAATTTCAGAAATGGTTTCTGTCATCATACATTTAGAACATATTTTGTTATAAATGCATGGTTTACCTGTTAACCAAGACAACGACATGTTATTTGGTACACATTTCTTGTTGCAGATCATGGCCTTTTTGGTGTTCCCCTACACACACTTTTAGAAAATGACCGGAAGATAGAGCCTAGAGTCACCGTCCCAATCATCTTTCATGACGTAAGTATTATTATGAAAGAATTTTAATATCATACATGACTGTCATCCACCCTTTCTCGCTAAATTTCTTGAATTTGTACACTTTAGATATTTGAGCTCAGTGAATTTGGTTGTGCTTATAAATTAGATTTCATGGGGATATTGTTCTTAAGAGCTCTGAGTTATGCCCCTTTAAATAACTTTTCACTTAAATTTTTATAAGTAGAAAACTTCTTTTTTAATTGCTGGATAGACTGAGATGGTTCACCTATATTATGTGTATTTAGATAATTTAGGTTCTTAAAGCTTCCTATCATTGCTGTTTAGGCAGCAAAAAACTCAATGAATAGATATTGGTCACAAAAAATATCAGCTTTGACGTGAAATGTCTCTGATACTAATCTGGGAATAAATTACATTGATATAACCAATTAATCCACAGATTATCTGTTTCCTGGAGTCTCACTGTCTGGATATGGAAGGGATTCTCCGAGTACCAGGTTCCACAGGGAGAATCAAGGTATACTTAAATCATACCCACAAAAAAGGAATCATGGGCTAATGTTTAATGGCAATAACTATATCAGAAAATTTCAACAATCAAAGTACATGTTCAACTTGCAGAGTTTCCCACTTAATGTCCATAAAGGCCATGTTTTTAGTTCTTTATGCAGTGTACTTCATAATGATCAAACCTCTATATAAAGACCACCTGTGTATAAAGGCCACTTTCCTCTGCTTCCTTGAGTGGCCTCTAAAGACTGGTTTTATAAATAACAATGTTTGGTGATATGTCTTTTATTACTGTCTTTGATGGTCATTTGAACTGTTTTGATATTAATTTGTATTGTATAAAATGAAAAAAGTCTATTTCATATGAGATAGGTGGGGTTATATAAAAAATTTGACTAGATACACATAGCTCCTAGCACCAGGTAGCCAAAAGGACTTATTTTTCATATGAAGTTACATGGCGGTTACAGAAATGGCTTTAATTTTGTTTTTCCCAAGCAATTACGAGGAGAGCTGGAAGAGAGATTTTATAGTGGTGCTATCTCCTGGGCAGAAGTCATGCCTAATGATGCTGCAGGCCTTCTAAAACAGTTCCTACGAGAGCTTCCAGTGCCTCTACTGACTTATGAATACATAGAGGCCTTTGCTCAGGTAGAGGGTAAGTATCTCACTCTAGTTCTGTATTAGCTTAAGTAACCATACCTGAATATCACTCACCTATGATAATAAACTTGAACTATTTTACAACAATTCCAAAGCAATTTTTTTGAACTTACATTAATCACTCTTGTTGATCCGAATGGTAGCACATAAGGGTCTTATTGTGGGAGGAATACGGACTACCAGGGGGAAAACCCACGTGGTGGGGCAGGTAACAACATCCATTCCGGGAATCGAAACCCGGACAGCTAGGTGAAAGGCGAGGGCATTACCACTGCGCCACCTGACTATCCTATACTCACCTATAAATATATAGAGGCTTTCACTTTGACATAGAGCAAGAATTACTACTAGTTCTTAGCTAGCTTCTTAGCAAACCTGTTTATTATCTATACTGTACCAAAGCTTGGAGACTTTTAGTAAAGATTATGTAAAGTACTGTCTCTCTACTGTGCTAGCTTATTCCCTCACGCTCATGACACCTGGAGAATACCCGGTAACATGTTCCAATATTCTTATGGAGTCTTTGGGTGTGACGGTAAATATGCCAAATAAAAGATTAATTGGTCCAAAATTATTGAAAACATCAAAACTCAGTGGACAATGTAAAAGTTATTACTTGTTTTCATTTCTAGTCAATACCTTCTTCATCCAATTCATGATCGTGAAATGTACAAATCAAGTGAACTTTACAGGTCTTGTAGGCCTCTTGTGAAAAAATCAAAATGGGGTAAATATTTGAGAACTTAACATTTATATTTTTTATTTCAGGTATAAAGGAGAAGAAACTACAGTTACAAGCCCTGTGCTTACTAATTCTGTTACTTCCACCAGTCCATCGTAATACTCTACAGGTAAAGAACGTATAGTTACAGGCACTATTTTTTTTATTAATTAGCTGTAATGACACAAAGCGTCATTGAGGTTGTTGTAAGATGACTGATCTGTCAAATCAACCAAATAATAACCCTTTCTAGAAAACAATTATAAAGTAACTGGTCGCTGATTTTTGGCGAGATTGTACCTGGAATGGATTGTAATGCATCTCGGGTACATTCTTGCCAAATATCAATAACCAGTAGCTTTTTGAACCATCTTGACCTATGTTTAAGGTCACAGAGGTCAAATATGAGAAACATTTATAATCTTCTTCTCAAGTTATTCCAAAAGACTCAAAGTTTTTATTTTTGCCAGTAGGATTTTATAAAAGATTGGCACTAAGTTTCTGCATGTACTTGGCCTGGACCTATTTCTAAGGTCACAGAGTTCAAATAGGTGAAGAAATATTTGAGAATCTTTTTTCAAGTGCCACAAGACCCTGATTACTGATGTTTGGCCAGTAGGTACCAGTGATGGAATACTACAAAATTTCCTCATATAAATGTTTCTTCATATGATATATGACAATGACCACTTTTCAAGGTCACAAAGGTAGCCATGTTTAAAACATTTAAGAATTATCTTAATTTCCTGAAGACCCAGTGTACTTATATTCATACACTTAGTCCTAGATACTGAGTGATCAATTTAAGTTTCTTCTTAAAAAACAATTTGACCCATTTCCAAGGTCAAAGGAGGTGGATGCATTTTAAACACTTATGAATCTTCTCGAGATACATTCTCTGTGAATAACACAATAATAATTGGATAAATATGGTATGTAAATGTGTTACAGACATTTGTTTTAGAACCATCCCTTTTGTTGTAGATGCTGTTGCGGTTCCTACAACGAGTTGTGAATAAGTGCCCAGAGAACAAGATGAGTTTAGCTAATGTTTCTATGATCATGGCCCCAAATCTGTTTCTGGTGTCTTCTGGTCGCTCCAAGTTCAAGGGCATTCAGGAACGAGAGATAACCATGGCAGCTGGAACCTCAAATATTGTCAGAATGCTTATTAAATACCTGGACATTCTTTGGACGGTAAATATGTATGAATTGTGGTTTTTATACACATTTGTATATTGACATCATCCATTACTTAAAACTCCTTGAGTAATATTCATTCACAAAAAAAAATGTCCAGGAAACAGTAATATTTATCAAAACCTCATACAGTATATTTTTTATGGTAGAATTATAGCAAAGTTCAGATGAAAGAAATGACTTTGAAGGTATGCTCCACTTTCAGTCATGTGGCTTTTTTTATATCTCACTATATCATTGTCCTAATGCTTCTGTCTAAGTAAAATGCTCCAATCAGTACAAACTGAAAATTTCAGCTAATTTTATTTGACACAGGTGCCAACATTTTTGGTGCAACAGATGAGACGCCAAAATGAAATATCTCAACAACGCAAAGGCAGGGATAAATCGGTAAGTCTTTTGTCAATTTTCTTTTTCTCAACAATGAAAAAAGCTTCAGTATGTGACGAGGTATCGCTGTTTAAATAAAAGAATTATCTAAATTTCAACTGTTGCCATAGTATTACTTCAATTTTAATGGATTCTATCATTTTAAAACATGTGCTTGTCAAAATTCTTTGAAAACTTACATGCAAACTAATTAAAGAAATTAACAAAACTTAACACATAATCCTGAATTTAATTGCTTCTACTTAGACAGTTTATGATGTATTTGTCAGCTGAGAATTGGTACTCACAGAATGTCAAAATTCCTTTCCAAGAAATATGGTGTTCTGCATAGGCCTTATATTGGAAGAATTTATTTGATTTAATCATGTGAGATCATGATTGACTGGCCAAGAAAATTGACTGTAAAGTGGGATGGTGGGATATGATCTAACTACAAACTCGCAGTTTCTACATCGTAGATATATCACCTATTTGATCTCTTTTTCGGATTGTTTGGTATTACTACAGAAAATACAGTCCATCTTATCTCATACATGTTTAAGAGTTATTTTAGAAAATAAGATTGATTTTGTTAATGTAAGTCTCTGTGTTTTGTTTATAAAACAATACTTGTGGACGTGCTAATCCATGTATTGCGCTAAGTTGCCAAAAATCATATTGTGCAGAAATTTGATTGCGATAGATTAAAAATAATTTCAATAGTTTTGAAATACATCAAATATTATTCCAATTATGGAAATTAGATTTTGTCTGAAGAAATAAAACATATAGCAAGATGTCAAGGCAATTCAGGGAAGATTGGAAAATTACAACCTGGTGTCTCAAGAAACAGACAAATAGAAAATGGATTTAATTTTGTACTCTTACGAAGATAATGAAATGGAAAGTTTATTTTGAAAGCTTTTTAATACCTGTTTTTTGATAATTTGTGCACAGAAAATAAAATTCCTTGCCAAGAAAGACAAGTCAGACTTGTACAAAAAGCCTGCCATTGTTCAGGAGGTAAGAAGACAACCTATGATTATAATCATAATGACTGTAAATGGCTAGAAAAAATGGCCGTATGATGTAACATACTCAGGTAAATGAAATAACATACAGTTGCTGCTATCATCATTTAGAATCAGTTCTGCCTATCCTCAAAATAACACAGAAAAAAAGTGGTTACAGATTACAGAAACATGTTTGATTATTGTTGTAGAATAAAGATTTTTTTACATTGTTATAGTTAAAGTGATGTTATTTTATGAGAAAAGATATTTAAGATTAAACAGATGTATACATGTTGAGTCATATACATAGCATAGTGTTGTTGTAACAGCAATCTGGCAAATGTTACTTGGAAACAAGTCTATGCCGTGTTAAAGTCTACCTATCCTATAGCCTACAGGAAGTTGTTGCACTTGGTTTGACTGCAGTGTGTTAAGATAAGGACATCAGGCCCCACTTGTATAAAACATCTCAACTTTCCTCAAGTTGAGATTTTCCTCAGCTGATATCTCCTCGAAAACGGCTTGTATAAAATTTTCTCAAGGAACAGGAGGAAGTCATCGGCTAGGATGTCCTGAAATTCCTTGAGGAATTTTCATACAAGATAAGAGGAAATCTCAAGTTGAGATGTTTTATACAAGTGGGGCCTGGTCTGAATATGTCTATATTGAAAAATAAAGATTGATAATTTATCTGGTTTATTCTAACAAGGTGATTTTGTATTCTATAATAAATTGATTTTATATACATTTTAACAATTAACCAGTTATCGAAATTTGAATAATTTTCATTTAATTAAGGGTGATTTTGAAGAAGGTGTAATACGTGTCCATGCCCCAAACCTAACCAAAAGTTCTACTGCAATCCGCCTGGACAATTGCATGACTGCTGGGCAAATAGTCGACAGATTCAGGAACACGGATGAAGCTTTAAAACCTGTTAATGGGAGGTAATTAGAAGTTATGTTGTATGTTATTCAACTTTTAAAAATAACTGGCCAATTCTGCAACGTATAACACCATATTTTAGTAAATAGCCTTATCACACCAAAGTCAAAAACACAGACAAATTAGTCCTCCATGAGGATTTCTCGGTGTTGTATGTATTGTATTCTTATTAGAAATATGTTTAATATATACATGCTATTATTACATGTGACAATTTGTTTCTAAAGGGAGAACAAAAAGAAAACACTGATGCAGCAGGGAGTCTACTCCGACCCTGATAAAGTTTCTTTCGCCGAGGAACACACTTACCTGTATGAAACAGGTGGCAATTTAGGTAATTATCCTTACCTTTGGAATTTCAGGATTGATGTGGGTGAGGGGCAGTAATAAAGATAAGTATACTTATCTGTACATAACAGTAGATAATATTGTTAAAAATACTTATCTGTACATAACAGTAGATAATATCGGTAAAATGCTTATCTGTACATATCAGTAGATAATATCGGTAAAATGCTTATCTGTACATAACAGTAGATAATATTGGTAAAATGCTTATCTGTACATAACAGTAGATAATATTGGTAAAATGCTTATCTGTACATAACAATAGATAATATTGGTAAAAATACTTATCTGTACATAACAGTAGATAATATTGGTAAAATGCTTATCTGTACATAACAATAGATAATATTGGTAAAAATACTTATCTGTACATAACAATAGATAATATTGGTAAAAATACTTATCTGTACATAACAGTAGATAATATTGGTAAAATGCTTATCTGTACATAACAGTAGATAATATCGGTAAAATGCTTATCTGTACATATCAGTAGATAATATCGGTAAAATGCTTATCTGTACATAACAGTAGATAATATTGGTAAAATGCTTATCTGTACATAACAGTAGATAATATTGGTAAAATGCTTATCTGTACATAACAATAGATAATATTGGTAAAAATGCTTATCTGTACATAACAATAGATAATATTGGTAAAAATGCTTATCTGTACATAACAGTAGATACTATTGTTAAAAATACTTATCTGTACATTACAGTAGATAATATTGGTAAAAATACTTATCTGTACATAACAATAGATAATATTGGTAAAATGCTTATCTGTACATAACAGTAGATAATATTGGTAAAAATGCTTACCTGTAAATTACATGAAGAAATATAGGTAATTTTACTTACCTGTAGATGACATGAGGCAATGTGTAGGCAGGTATACTTATTTATACAAGACAGGTGACAATTCAGGTAATTATATATAACAGGAGACATTGACATGAGATAATATAGGTAAGTACACCTATCTGTACATGACCTGTGGTCAGATAGATAATCATGCTTACCTGTGCATAACGTGTTTCAATATAAGTAATTACACTTATCTCTGGGTAACAGGACGTTCATTTTTGGTAATATAGTTAAGTATGCTTATCTGTATGTAACAGGTGACAATATAAGTAATTATACTTATCTGTACATAACAATAGATACTATTGTACATAAAATAATATTTATCTGTACATAACACGTAGCATTATATTGTTAAAATACTTATCTGTACATAATGACGGGCAATATAGGGAGTCTTACTTATCTGTACATAACGACGGATAATATAGGGAGTCACACTTATCTGTACATAACGACGAGCATTATAGGGAGTCTTACTTATCTGTACATAACGACGGGCATTATTGGTAAAATACTTATCTGTACATAACAGTAGATATATATTGTTAAAATATTTATCTGTACATAACGATAGATAATATTGTTAAAATACTTATCTGTACATAACAATAGATACTATTGTTAAAAATACTTATCTGTACATAACAATAGATACTATTGTTAAAAATACTTATCTGTACATAACAATAGATACTATTGTTAAAAATACTTATCTGTACATAACAATAGATACTATTGTTAAAAATACGGGCATTATCTGTACATATCTGTACATAACTATTGCATTACGGGCTTATCTGTACATAACAGGGATAATATTGTTAAAAATACTTATCTGTACATAACAGACGGACAATATTGGTAAAAATACTTATCTGTACATAACGAAGGGCAATATAGGAGTCTTACTTATCTGTACATAACGATGGACAATATAAGTCTTACTTATCTGTACATAACGAACAATAGAGTCTTACTATTGGACAAAAATACTTATCTGTACATAACGATGGACAATATAGGGAGTCTTACTTATCTGTACATAACGACGGGCATTATAGGGAGTCTTACTTATCTGTACATAACGACGGACAATATAGGGAGTCTTACTTATCTGTACATAACGATGGACAATATAGTCAGTCTTACTTATCTGTACATAACGACGGGCATTATAGGGAGTCTTACTTATCTGTACATAACGACGGGCATTATAGGGAGTCTTACTTATCTGTACATAACGACGGGCATTATAGGGAGTCTTACTTATCTGTACATAACGACGGACAATATAGGTAGTCTTACTTATCTGTACATAACGACGGGCATTATAGGGAGTCTTACTTATCTATACATAAAGACAGACAATATAGGGAGTCTTACTTATCTGTACATAACGACGGGCAATATAGGGAGTCTTACTTATCTGTACATAACGACGGGCAATATAGGTAGTCTTACTTATCTGTACATAACGAAGGGCAATATAGGGAGTCTTACTTATCTGTACATAACGAAGGACAATATAGTCAGTCTTACTTATCTGTACATAACGAAGGGCAATATAGGGAGTCTTACTTATCTGTACATAACGATGGACAATATAGGGAGTCTTACTTATCTGTACATAACGACGGGCATTATAGGGAGTCTTACTTATCTGTACATAACGACGGGCATTATAGGGAGTCTTTCTTATCTGTACATAACGACGGGCATTATAGGGAGTCTTACTTATCTGTACATAACGACGGGCATTATAGGGAGTCTTACTTATCTGTACATAACGACGGGCATTATAGGGAGTCTTACTTATCTGTACATAACGACGGGCATTATAGGGAGTCTTACTTATCTGTACATAACGACGGACATTATAGGGAGTCTTACTTATCTGTACATAACGAAGGGCAATATAGGGAGTCTTACTTATCTGTACATAACAGGTTGTACATGTGATACACATGTAGGTATGTACTGTAGACTTTCGAGAAAATCTTTACATGCTTACTATTAATGTTGTAGTTGCTTTTTGTTAGGTTTCTCTGCTAGAGGCTTATTCCTTAATATAACGACATCAGTGTTAGGGTCTTTTGCACTTTTCTGGTTCAATGATTCCTCGCGGGAGAGTTTTGGGGAAAGGGGACTCATTTATTACTACACCTTGGTGGCGGGACACACCAGAGACTTGAAAATGGTAGTGTGTACTCCCACAAACTGTTCAGTATTATGGTAGCGTAACGACTGATTCACAATTTGGTAGTATCATTAAACCAGATGGTGTTGTCCTGCTGGGTACATTCGGTAGTTGTAATTACTTCTATAGGGTAGGTTGTTTGTTGGTTTTATCGACCAGTGAACATTCAGGGTCATTTCGGGGCAGAGTCTCCTTGTAATAAGCTTGTGACTGTCTCACTGAACAATGCAGATTTTCACCTGAGGTTATGTCGGCACACATTTTAACCAACTAGGATCTTAGAGGCTGTCCCATCAGCGTGGTATAGGTCTGTAATATCAACTTCAGTTCTGCAACATCACCAGAATTACATGAACATATTGCAGTTTTCCACAAAAATAACCCCAATTTGCACTCACTCTGCACACGTTTGAAGGTCGTCCTTAAATGTCAATAGCTATTACTGGTATATGTGTTAAACTCTGCCAAATACATAGAAAACATAAGTTGCTAATTTTTAAAGGATGGTTTTATCAACATTATATCATTGGTTATTCTGATTTTTATTGTTAATTTCATTGCCTATCAGATATTGTACATTATAATCAAATTCTATTTAAATACAGGAATGATATTTTTAAACAAATGTGGATATCAACTTTAATAGAGCAAGATTTACAATGTTTCCAGAGTTATCATGAAGTATGTAATGAATTATAAAGTTCCCTATCTTCATTTTATGTAAACATTTTGCTTTACTTGAGAATGAGTGTACATCTTGGTGTACTTAGAAGGATTTACAATGTAGAGCCAATGCCGTTCATACTAGGTAGGTTGGGTGTTAGGTTCCTTTACTCTTCAGCTGGATACCAGAGAGTATGCAGGGTGATTGAGCAATAGAGAAAATCAGGTACTGAGTATCAATCACAACGGCTTCAGAGTAGTGTTTTCATATTTATTATTAACCACCTACCGGTTTCGCCCTCTCCAGACTTCTCTTAGTGTAGTTAGTTCACTAGCATTACATTGTAGTGCACAAAAGTTAACACTGTGGTGGTGGACAGGGTTGCAATTCAGAAATATAATGATTTGACCAGTACAGTACCTTTGTCTGTTCTGTGTGTACTACAAAGTATGATTGACACTTTGTTTATTTTGCTCCCAACCCATTCTCCTGCCCGATGCTAGAGCCTTTGGATCAGGTAGTTAATACATCAAGGTATAAGCCGTTCATAAAAACTCCAAGCCTGCACAAACAGAGCAGATTTAGAAAGGTAGTACAGGATGGTATATGATGCTATTCATTTGTTTACATATACTGTCATTTTACCTTTATCTTTTTGCTCAGGTGAACGATGCTTAGATCACCAAACCAACATGATGGCACTGTACAAGGTAAACCCTAATGCAGAGTGGGTCATCAAAACAAGCTATCATAGATAGTCTCCATACGAACTCTAAATAGTGCTCACAGAGTAAAGCAGGAAGTGCCGAGGAACTCTAACAGCCATGTTTTGCTCCATAATCTTCATGGGAAATTCGTTGACAGCAAAGTGGCCAACTTATGCTTTGGGAAAGATTGATACCAAGCATGGGCAATGTCTCCTTAGTAACCAAAGATATGATAATGCGTTTAAATCCAGCATTTTATTAGGGAGCATAGCAACCAACTTTCATACTCAGTGTTTCTATGGTAAACATAGGAGGTGCTCAAAATGCCCAATAGGTATCCCTGCATCCAAATGTTTTACTGCACAGTTTAGCTATGATATCAGCAATTATAGGTATTGGTGACGAACTACATCAACCAATAATACTTTAGACACAATGGTGACCATAAACGCTACTCACAGTGTTTAGCAGGAAATGGTGAAAAAGCTACTCACAGCATCCAGCAGAAACTGGTGAAAATGCAACACACGGCGTCTAACAAGAACTGGTGAAAAAGCTAATGAGAGTGTCCAACAGGAACTGGTGAAAACGCTACTCACGGCATCCAACAGGAACTGGTGAAAACGCTACTCACGGCGTCCAACAGGAACTGATAAAATGCTACTCACAGCATCCAGCAGGAACTGGTGAAAACGCTACTCACAGCATCTAGCAGGAACTGATGAAAAAGCTACTCACAGCATCCAGCAGGAACTGCTGAAGAAACTGCAGTTTTCCCGTGGTAATTTTGAGGAATCGTTCAGCAATCAACCAAAGGTTAAGCTGCCAAATTTCTTTTCTAATGACGAGAAAGCTTGAGAAACTGAACTCTCATATTTCCTTTGTAGCATCATGTAAACACATTATTTACCTGAAGATTATTTAAACATGTCTCGATGGTGATGTGTACAATTAATATTGGATTGGAAACTGCCAATTAGACACAAGGATTCCGATGATGGTTTCCTTGGTTTTACATGAACCTAAATAAAACTGGAATATACTGTAGATCTCCTTCATCAACATTGCATTCCATTTTTATGAAATGTTGTAATGGATATTTTTATAACTTCAATGGATTACTATTATGAAAACCAAGTTTGAAATTGGGTGCTGATTATTTACAATAATATAATTATTCAAGGATGAGTTTAAGGCTAAGAATACTATATGTAAACAATATGTATTATATTTTAATAATTTTCATTTAAGAAGTATAACCTACGTACCCTTGAAGCACCACAATGACTATAGATTTTGTACAGGATCAGGACAAGATAATAGGAGGCACTTACACATATATGGAAATACATAGAATTGAATAATATATACATCAAGAGTTATTTTAACCCAACATCATCCAAAAAGTTCTCAAATTTCATATACAAGTTTCCCTTGGTCCCCAGAAATGCAATATCAATCATGTAATTGATTTGAAGGACAAAAGTGCCCACAAACGTCCGTTATGGAGTTTGTAATTTTGTAATCACCGTTTCTAAGAAAGTTTTGGATCAATGGGTATAAATTGTTTATGTAAGTTCCCCTCAACTCCTGTTTATGCGTCTTCGATTATGGGAGGGACTGTAAGGAATTTAAAATCATGATCCAAATGATAGAGATCATACCATGGTGGGCACCAAGATCCCTTTCGGATGTTTAATTCTTTATCATATCATTATTATCATCATCATTCGTGTCTCATTATTCCCAAATTGATTTAAGATGCTAAGATGCAGAAGATCTTTCAGTCTTTGTTTAAGTTGTTATATTTGTGATATTATATGTAATTGTCTCGCAAGATATGTATCTGTGCAATATAAAGTCTTTATGTAACCATTCTAAGTAGAGTATCCTTTGTCAGATTGTCTTTTGTACAAAGCCAAAGTAACATTATTAAATGTGCAATCAAACATTTCTAACATTCGTTGTTATGTCTTCATATATTTCAAGATAAAGATCATCAGAAGGTTTTCTGGGTTGTTAGAGTAGGGGTTGGGAAGAGTAAAGATGTTTTCAATGAGTTTAAGAATAGGATGATACATGTTGGAGGATTTTAGGTCATCTGACGTAAGGCATGTGCTTCTTCTGTCATTGTGTTTCGTGTGTAATGCGTCGTGCATAAACTTTTTTCTTTCATACCTGAATGGATGTCAACCAAATTTAGTCTGATGCATCATTGGGTGAAGGTAATCATACCTTATATTCAGAATTTGCTTCCACCGCAAGGGGTCAAGGGACGGGGCCCCACTGGGGGAAGTTCAGAAATTAGATAGTTAACCCTACTCCTCCTTTCTGCGTTGATGTATTTCAACAAGCTAAATTGGGCTGATTCATCAGTTAGAGTAGGCAATCATTTCTGATCTTCAGGAAGTCAATTTGACACCTAAGGACTTGGCAGGAGGGCCCCAAAGGGGAAGTTAGACAATATTTTGCTTCAAAACGCCACTCGGTTTTAATGCTTAAATGGATTTCAACCAAATTTGGTGTGAAGCATAATTGAAAACGGGGAATCATTTCTTAAATTCAGAAAGTTGATTCGACCCCTAGGGACTAAGGAGTAGGGCTCCAAAAGAGGAATATATTTTGTTTCAAAATGCTACTCCTTCTAAATCCCTCCGTAGATTTCAACCAAATTCGGCCTGAAACATTATCAGGGAGTGGCAATGATATCAAACATGAATGAAGTGATCCTGAGATTGTCCTGACCAAACTTTATTTTTATGCTTTTGTCCAGAATTCAACATGGAACAAATGGTCTGAACATCTCATATTTCAATCACACCAGTGAGAAAAATATTTTTGTTTTGTTTTTTTTTAAGAAAAAAAGGATGACTTGGTGAAACTGTTTTTCATGCACAGAACCTACCATTTATGAGTTTCTGATACTTTCAAGGAATGTGTAGAATTTGAATTCATCAGATTTGTCAGACAACCATCAGCGAATTCTGTGGTTTGTCCATCCATTTGTCGATTGTTAGTTGACCGTTAAGGGCTATGGCCCTCTTGTTTAATATTAATGACACTGACCCACTTTCAAGATCACAGGTAACAAATGTGTTAAATGTTAAAGTGTTTTTTTCTCAGTAACTAAAAGTACTAGAGTGCTAATATTGGACCAACTTTCAAGGCCACAGGGGTCAAATGAGCTGAAATGCTTAAGCAACTTCCTCTCGATAACCGAAAGGCCAATGATGAACTTGGTTTTGCAACAAGCAATACATCAAATCAGGAGAAATGACATTTATGTAGTGCATGTATAAAGAATATGATTTCAAGTTTGCAGGAAAAGTCTTGATGAACCAACAATGACTTCTATGGAAGATTTAGAGTAGTTGAGCGATTTATTTTAGGCCTATTTTGCCTCTTTTAAATATAGGTCTTTATAGTGAGATGATCGTTAAGGCCCAATGGCCTCTTGTTAATATTTCCAGGACTGTTTCTAGTACTTGCATTATGTGCTTTGATATTGATCGTTAACTATATTCCAGTATCTATCGACCTATAATTAATGCAGATTTGACGGAGGAATGGGGTATCCAGTCACGGCATCAATGAACAAATGTTAGCATTAAGATGTCTGCTTCACAACAAGTTCGCGCCGATTAAAAGAAACAGATTATACTATAATTGTTGATGAACATCCAAGGTTTAGTTGGCATAGTTAATTTCTTTTTCAAATTTGTTTCAATCACGAATTTTGAAATATTAAATGGGGGACAAAAGATTGGCTTACGTTCTGTTGATTTTGATTATTTCTGTACAGGATTAAGCCGTAAAATACAAAAATGTATTTTGTGCATGTGTGTGTGTGTATTGAATTATAACATAATAGTAATGATGAATAATCCTTATAGTTTAATTACGTAACTAAATGGCGTCGATAATCTCGTGTTATGAAGAGAAAACACTACAAATGTCTGACAATACTTAGGTAAAATCTTTGGTACATGTCCCACTGAGAGTAACAGACTGATATGGAGAGATAACATCGAAACTGTCTGATGACAATTCTTAGGTAAAATCTTTGGTACATGTCCCACTGAGAGTAACAGACCGATATGGAGAGATAACATCGAAACTGTCGGATGACAATTCTTAGGTAAAATCTTTGGTACATGTCCCACTGAGAGTAACAGACTGATATGGAGAGATAACATAGGAATTGTCTGATGACAATTCTTAGGTAAAATCATGTCCCACTGAGAGTAACACGATATGGAGAGTCCCAACTGAGTAAAAGTACATGTCCCACTGAGAGTAACAGACTGATATGGAGAGAGAATTGTCTGATGACAATTCTTAGGTAAAATCTTTGGGATATGTCCCACTGAGAGTAACAGACTGATATGGAGAGATAACATAGGAATTGTCTGATGACAATTCTTAGGTAAAATCTTTGGTACATGTCCCACTGAGAGTAACAGACTGATATGGAGAGATAACATAGGAATTGTCTGATGACAATTCTTAGGTAAAATCTTTGGTACATGTCCCACTGAGAGTAACAGACTGATATGGAGAGATAACATAGGAATTGTCTGATGACAATTCTTAGGTAAAATCTTTGGTACATGTCCCACTGAGAGTAACAGACTGATATGGAGAGATAACATAGGAATTGTCTGATGACAATTCTTGGTACATGTCCCACTGAAAGTAACAGACTGATATGGAGAGATAACATCGAAACTGTCTGATGACAATTCTTAGGTAAAATCTTTGGGATATGTCCCACTGATCGGGACCACCTGCTATACGTGTGAGGACTTAGTTTTAACATACCTATGTGCTGCCTCAGCATACTGTACCCATATCTACGATATAGCGAAATCGCATTCTCATGAATGATTCTGGCTGCCGTACAAGAATTCGGGTCATACAGGTAGTGTCCACTATGCTCCTGCACCTCTCTCTTTTCTACCCTCAAATATTGTACAAACTCAATTAAGTGATTTGTATCATTCAATACAAATGAAGATACAGTACAGCCAAAGTATTGAGCTACATCATACAGCTGTTTGTCTAGGAATCTTCAGTGACGATAAGAGCCTAAATTGTGAATCCTTAGAAGGTGATCGAGAAAAATCAAATTTGATCCAAAGAAATATAAAAATTTGGATGGGGAGATGCATCAACCCTGTTATTCAATAAGTATTCATACATCTAATAATTTAAAAAATGTAAAGAACATGGATATTCCGAGCATCATCATCATCATCATCATCATCATCATCATCATCACTACAGCTTTTAATACCATGGTATTTCGGTGTATTACTCAAATTCAATTACATGTATATTTATCAAGATGTCTTTCTAAATACGTTTGTTGCATTATCTTTCACAAAAAATATGTCCAACTCAAAATCAACCGATCAAAATAGTATTTTATAAACTTTTTTAAAGCAATACCCATGTAGAGTGCTCAAGAATTAGATAAGAAGAGTAACCGTTGTTTACGCCGTCAAGGATAAAGTACCCATCATGCTAGTCTATGTCAGAACGTATTGTCACGTGATCAACCCAGGCTATGTCACGCTGTACTGATGCAGCCCGCGATGCCTGATAGCACTGATGATGAGAACAGTTGAACATCTTTTACAACTCCTGCTTATACAGATAGGTAGTCGAAACCACAATTATATTATCAACCACAAGAATCTTTTATACAAATGCCAACTGGGACAGACGCTGTTAGTCTTTAGCATTTTCCGTAACATAACCGGGTAAGAGATCGGTCTCGTCCAGGGAGAAAATCTGTCTCCGCTACTTTTTCTTTATTTGTCAACGATTTTGAATCCTTACTTATAACACAATTTAGCTCGCATTGTAAATTTCAAGACTGAAGCTTACTCCTTATGCTTTACGCTGACAATATGATATCATTTTCAGATACTTCAAAGATTACAAGATCTACTCATTAATTTAGGAAGATAGTCGAACCTCGTTATCTCGTATGATTCCAAGACCCCCTTTAATTCGATTATTCCGTCGGTCCCTCCTAACTTTAAACGAAACATTCAAACTCAGTTAATTAAAATATATGATTATCTCGAAGTTTCCCTATTAGCCCGCTGAGTACGGATAACGAGGTTTCGCTGTATTCTGGAAAATATTTATCATTATTATTACATTCTTAACCGCCCGTCAACACATAAAAGGTCATCAGGGCCATCAACCGGTAAAACAGTGATTCAAAAGGAAATAACATCAAACAAACTAAAAGGTAAAGACAAATGCTAAAGATATTAAATGGTTACATTATCACAAAATATTGAAATGGTAAGCCATAGTCTTTAATACAGGCTAACATCTTTCAGGTAATGTAGAATTTTAAAATCTTAACAATTTCAAAAAGGGATTTTAGACATGTAATGTTACGATAAAAACATTCTCGAGTAGACAGAAGGTCAATGCAGTCCAATAAAAAAGTTTAAAGTGAATGGCTCATCATATCATATGCACCAAGGGTTATATTCGCCTTTCAATATATATGTATGTGTAAGGCATGTATGGCCCATCCGAAGACGGGCAAAGACAACTTCGTCTCGGTGGTTGTCTCTATGGCATGGACACCATTCGCCGACGATAGGTTTTAGGGAGTGCAATTTATTATTGGTATATTTATCCCATTCCTCCTGACACTGAGCCGTTAAAAGTTGTTTGATAAATGGTTCGAAATCAGTAAAATTAGTAACCTAACTGTGAATATTGAAAACAAACAGAAGTTGTTGTTTTCCGAAAAGGATTGTTACTACATCATAATGAGAAATGGACATATAAGGCAAACATCGAATTTGTGTAAATAAATCTAAATATCTAGGTGTAAACCTGAAATTTACTAACAACTTTAACAGAATACAAAGTCAGCTTTGTTCAGGAAGAGTAAACGTCTTCTGTTTCATCGACGACATCCGCCATGTAAATCTTGGTCAAGTCAATGAAGTGATGTCGCGTTCTCAAATTATCATAGGATTATAATACGGTGATAGTGGGAATAGGCCTTTGATATAGAATTGATTGGGAATGCACACTGCATTTGATAATTAGAAAGATTTTTATGTAGTATAGACAGTTTTTTAATTGATCAAAAGAGGATCTTTTAATCAGTCTAAAATGTTTACTTTTCCTTACCTTTCCACAGTTCTGGGCCTTCTATTGTAAAACGTCAGTATGCAAAGTAGAAGGACAATATGCCAGGGTGTGATTATGCTGTTTTATGTTGTCTATCACTATATTGAAATCAACATTATTCTACTAAATATACTTTGTAAATGTGTGAGAATAAAACTTAAAACGAACGTCAAAATCAGGTAAAACGTGCAATCACGCTTATCGGCGCTATCAAAATAATACAATGATATGCCATGTTGTTTTCCGTGAAGCCTCTACCATTCGCAAAATGGTGTCTATTGTTCCTGTAATTATTGTTCGGGATATATCCTCATCCTGTTCTCTGTCCGCATCGCTGCGCCTTTTACTGACCTTTAACCCCCATTATTTGTACGCCAATCACTGGATATCAAAAGCAATTTTAGTAATAAAACAAGTAACATAGCTTTTCTAAACAGGTATTTACATTTTTAAATGAGACATGTCAGAATATAATAAGAAATCAATCAGAATTAATGCACGTGCTAAAATACGGTTCTTTTCTGCCACTGCCAAATACCGCAAAAATAAAAGCGGCTTGTGTAATCCAAAAATGCAGGCACCGATTGCTTATTTGTCTGTGTTGGTATTACACGGCATATAAGAAATGTACAAAAGATACACATTTAGAACTACATACAGTATAGCCAAAAATAAATTAAAGTACACCATACACCTACAGGAACATCACAACAACGACGTGTCAATCGTGATTGTAAAATCTTAACGAGAGACAAAAATGTACATCCATGGAGATTCCGGATAAATAAGAATTATAATAATACCAGAGGCTGATACATTCACAAGTTTTCAATTCAAACACTTAGCAAAATAAGAACAAAGGAAAACTGAGAGGTTTTATGAGAGCGAAGTGGTAACTCACTAGCCTTTTATTTAGGCGCCCAGGGTTCGATTCTCCTGTGAAGCATGGTATTCTGAAACATGGTGACATGAAGTGGGGTCAAAATACCACACAGGTGAAGTAAATCCCGGTTTATTTCACCATTCTGTTGAATGAAACCGTCCATGGTAATATGAAGTCTCTTTACACGTTGTAGTCAATTGTTGTTTCTTCGCTCACTTTTATCAGTTACTCTGATTATTGTCCATGCCTAAAAAACAAGGATGGGAAAATTTAGAGTAGGTCAGGGGGTCATTTGACCATGGCCCTGGAAAAGTGACGTATAGCACTATTTTATTACTAATTAACTTTTTATAACCATTATTTTCTATTCACCCTGATTCATTTATATATACACACAAATAATAAAAAATACGTCTGGGGTGGAGGAATTTAGGAGGGGCAGTGGGCTTTATATGTCATGGCCATGGTAAGGTGAAGCATTTAATTTTTTTCTTACTAAATGATATTTTTAACTTCAATATGGGCTTTATCATACTACATGGAAGTGAGGTCACCTGCCTAACAAATGGGTTTTCCGCGGGTACTCCAGTTTTGTTCTCATTGTAAGACCCCCACAAGAGTTATTGAGATTTGGTTTATATGACAATACATGCCGTTTAATCATTATTTATATCATGTGATTCGTTACTACTTGAGAGGACTGTGTAGCTGGTTATCACGGCCTCGGATCCTAGTCCATAAACTGTGTATATTGTTATCTGTATATAGCTAGATTCATCAACGAATATGTTTACATTTATTACAGGAAGATACTAGATGTAAACTGGCGAAACACGTGAGTAAAGACTTGGATAAGAATCGAGGTCAATATCGCATCCGTTTATAACATTTCATAACACACACAATTACATGACTAACATGTTTTAATGCTTGATCAGTGAAGTTAAATGAATATTTATATTTGTCAAGTCACATCAAACAACTTGTGAACACGGAATGGTTTATTTGATAAAATTCGTATTGTATGTATAATCCGTTGATAAAAGATGACATAATGGGATAATTTGTGGAGGCTGTAGAGTGAATAGTGTAACATATCTCAACAGATGTTTTCAGTATTGTAGGATTGGAAGAATTGGACGATTGGACAGAATGGACGAAAAAACTAAACTACTGGACAATACTGAAGATAAAACCATACCAGTACATACAGGTAAGTATAATATATTTATATTGTGTTTTAGATATTTTCTACTTACCAATGATATACAATGGAATTTGGGCACATATTTCAAAGTTTTTATCATCTTTATATCCATTACACAAACCGGCACTTTTGCACAATAAGGAATGTACACGGTTTTATATCTAGGACTAGGGAATATCTCGTGATAGGAAGAAATAAAGAGAACGTAAAATAGAATGTGTAGATTCCGTCAGGTACAACATAGGTAAATATAGTAGATTTTCGAGAAAAAGTTTTGAGACCTTGTGAACAAGCCGGCACCAGTTGAATATTTAATCACTCATTTGTTCAAAAGTACGTACTATGCTGTGCCAGTGGTTGCTTTCACATTTATTCTTCCTGTTCCTTAAGTACATTCGTTTCACACGTACTTCATGAGTCACGAAACACCACAGTAATCGAAAACCATTCAAAATATTTTTAGTACAGTTTTTAATAAGACTTTAACTCAACGTCGTTCACTGTAGTTTCGTTGATCTATGTGATGTTCACATAGCAGGGTCAGAATAGTATCATTGGTTATATAGATTAAACTGAAACGCCTACAATCTGTTTTTAGTTTAACGTTCATGTGAACATGAACAATAATGCTAATGTTTTTTTTTATAAAAGTTATATAAATATTGTAGATTATAAATCTTTGTCTTGCTAGGGAGAATTTAAAAGAAGACACACAAGTGGTTTAAAAGAAATTTCAACACTTTACAATACAAACTGTTTGGCAACATAAAAGAAATAAACATCATAGAGATGGATTTGTCAACAACATTAATGATATTAACAGTTGGAGCACAATTATTAAATAAATCAATATGATGATAAACAGGAAATATGCTAATGTTGATGAATAAGATAGGAATTGGTTTAAAATAACTACTTTGATATCAAAATTGGATAAATTTCGTATGTCTTAATATTGTACAAATTTAAAACAATGTCAAGTGTTTATGTATAATCCGAACCGTTCCATTACATAAGAAACGATTATAACACATATTTTATTAAATACACATAGACTCAGTGAATAGTGAGGATCAATATCTAGACTGAAAACACAGAACGAAATTTCATTTTTCCCCCTAAGGTTTACTAAATGCAGTTTCTGAATAAAATAATTAAAGTGACAAAACATTAATTTTCAGTGAATGTGATAAATATTATAACATGTGTCGCATTCCTACGTTCCAGGATATGGAGCTAGACATACCTTTACAATATTGTCCTTTATCGGTTATTTCAACCTGTATGCTCTTCGGTACAATCTCAGCGTGGCTATGGTTGCCATGGCAAATCACACGGACAATATGTCGAATAAAAATGAATCCCAGTCGGGTGTGTGTCCAGATCCGGGCATCAATGTAACCACAAAACAATCTGTTGGTAAGGTAGGGATTTTAATGTTTATTTCTATGTATTTTAAGATATTGTCAAAAATAACGTTTTTCTTGCACAACCTTCCACATAATATTCCAAACAAGATACATTTCTGTTTTGCTTTTATAAACGTTTCCGAAATTTTGAACAATAATTTGAAATCTTAACTGTACTTTTTCGTAGTAACTAAGAAAACTTATATGTCATATTTATTACTTTAAGTGACTTTTGTTTAATGAAACATATATAGAGTATGGTATTTTACATACCGTTTCAGGCTGTTCAGTATGATTGGGACGAGGTGACACAGGGGATGATACTCAGCTCATTTTTCTATGGTTACGTCGCTACACAGATTCCAGGTGGAATGTTGTCGGAAAAGTTTGGCGGCAAACGTCTTTTTGGTTACGGAATACTGATAATGGCAATACTCACCGCGTTGACTCCACTGGTAGCTGAGGTCGGAACGTGGGCACTTATCGTCACAAGAGCCATTGAGGGAATAGTTTCGGTGGGTGAGATATTACATACGCTAATATTTGCTTTTCTAAAAATTACTAGTGATATTGTTTTCGAATGAATAAGGAATAGACACTGTTGTTTTTAACTGGTGTCTATGAAATTTGATAAAAACCCACTTTTGATAGATTTGAGGAATGGACATGGTAACTAAGAGTCAAACGCTATATTGATTTCAATGTTGAGACATTTTTTAATGGTTCAATGTTTAAAGTAAATCAATATGTTCTGTCACATGTCTCTCTGTAATCAAGGCAATAGATTAAAAAAATCCTTTCCAATTATAATGAAACATTATTTAACTTAGAGGTTTATACACATCCCAAGTTTGTGTTTGACAGTTATTTAGGTTTTTCTGATTCGCTTCTTTGGCTTCATCCTGTTATACACTTCGTACCACTGATGAGATTTAGAAGGACGAAATTTTGTATGATGCAATTAAATTTATAACTCTACTGTATCTAATTCTTCATTTCCAAGGGAACTTGCTGTTCATTTGTGTCTTTGGTAAACTCGTTAGTTGAATAGGATCAAGGAATATGGTATCAAATTACTAGAGTATTTCTTTCAGGGTACATCTTTTCCGGCAGTAGCGGCCATGCAGGGGAAATGGACACCGGAGTCAGAAAGAACTTTACTCACTGTTCTAGCTAATAGTGGTAAATGACAATATCGTACAGAGTTATTACACTCTATCTACCTATTTTGATGAACGCGTTTATTCTCTTTACTTATGTATTTCGTTGCCGTTGGCTTTTAATGAATTTATGTACCAAAATGTGCATTATGAAGTTTGACTTATATAGAATTATAATGTCGGTTGGATATCTATTTGTTAATAATCTAGAAAAACAGAGCAACAACAATAGGTATTAATTGTACTAGTGTATACAGAATGTAAACAGTGTATTTCATTTTTCAGGAGCGTCGATAGGGAATGTGATAGTGTTACCTGTATCGGGGTATCTTTGTAACCAACAGTTCTTTGGTGGATGGCCTGCAAGCTTTTATATTTTCGGTAAGCTATAATCGTGTGTGCTTTAGTGCAATCTACAAAAAAAAATATTTTTCTAATAATAAAAAATGTAATTATTGTTCGTTCTGACATTATTCGGAATGACATACTGTATATATTTCTGTTCACATACGGTTTTACTGTAATCTATTTTGCAATACTTTGGACGTTTTATTGTTATAATGTTACCAGAACAAACTAAAGCTTAATTGCTGTTTCCATATGAAGTTGATCAAAAAATTGTTCAAGTTGATATGGCGCTTGGTTTTGACTGAGCCAAAATAAGAACGTTAACAGAACATGACTTTATTAATGCATTACAACACTTCTTGGTTGCATCTTTCTAAGCCTGTCGTTCTGTAAACTGAGCGTTTGTATTTTGTTTTATTTCTAGGTGGTATTGGGTGTATATGGTTTTTGTTTTGGCATTTTCTAATTTACGAAACACCTGCTACTCATCCTCGAATTTCACTGACAGAAAAGAAATACATTGAAAGTACAGCTGGACAGAACACAGAGAAGGAAAGTCTTTGTATCCATTTGAAATAAATTGTAGTTCATACATAGTCGAGTATCTATTTTAATTAATTATAATCATTACCTTTTGTTAAAATTTAGCTCTTAGTCACTAAAATATACACCTAAAGGTTACACTGACCTGATGTTGTAATTGGAATTTACAGAGTTATCCTACACCATGGAGAGGTATTCTAACGTCATCAGCTATGTGGGCGATTATGTTAGCAGTATTTTGTCAGTCCTGGGGAGCGTACATAAGTGTGACAGTACTGCCAACGTACATGAATAAAATACAGAGATTTGATATTACACAGGTACGTGTATGGGAAATGTATCGTTCATTGTAAACAAATTTTATAAACTTTACTACTTTGGTATACGTCTACAGTGTTTTAAATACAAATATCAAAAGACATTGGTTTGGTATTAAACAGGTACCCGTATCGGAAATATATTGTTCATTGTAAACATTGTAAAAAACTCATTTACAACGAAAGTATGAGTCTACAGTGCCAAAATATCTTAAATATCTTTTTGATATAACAGAACCCATGTGCCAATTACAGATAATGTATGAATATCCAAATCGGACGGAGCTGCATGTTCGGTTTTTATTTATTATGTATTTTTTACTTAATATATGTGTTTAACGTTATTTTCAAATGATACAATATTTGAAAAAATATGAAAGTAATTGAATTTTTGAATTATGCACCTCCTCAACATGCCTTCTGATATTTATTTTAATCGTTATAGAGTTACTCTGTTGTCATCAGATATATTTCAAGAATATAAGCATACTTGACAAGTACAACTTTCGTAGCAGCATTTACTTCGTGTACTTCATATATATATATATATATATATATATATATATATATATATAAATTGATTGTATATTAACTTTGATTTGTGGTTAACAAAATATCTATAACGAATATCATCTTTTCTGTTTATATGTTAATGATGTTTGCATTAAGGACGGTTTGCTGATGGCCATACCAAACCTAGTGACGGCACTAATAGGTTTATTCAGCGGCTGGCTAGCTGATTTCTTACGACGTCGAGGTTACCTCTCTACTATTGTCGTGCGAAAACTCTTTTCCTCTGTCAGTAAGTATACTAAAAGGATAAAGAAACGCAGGGTGAACTTTAAACCTGAAATTAAGTATGATATCGGGCTTCGTTTAAAACGAAATTTTGTATACTTACAGATAAATTAAAGCTTGAAAATTTCCAAAGTCTGTATTTTGCATCTGACAATTGGTTTAGAGGTACTAATGATTAAATTGAATGGACCCATAGGATTTTGAAATTGAAATTGAACTGAGTCATCAATATCTTGTGTGTCCGCCGTTTGCTGTGGTCACGGCTCTTATTCTTCTGGTCATAGAGTTCATGAGAGCGCTAATCCGTCTTATGGGGATGTTGTCCCACTCTTTTATCAGAGCTGTGGTCAACTGCTCTCGAGTAGCAGGGAGTGGCTGGCGCTTTCGAACCTGTCTATCCAATTGGTCTCAAAGATGCTCGATCGGGGACAAATCAGGGCTATATGGTGGCCAATCTAGTGGTTGAATGTTGTTGTTGGCCAGAAAGACTTGGCAAATCCTTGCTACGTGGGGTCTAGCATTATCCTGCTGGAGAGTTAGATTATGCTGCTGTAAGAAAGGGATAACATGGGGTCGGAGGATCTCATCTCTATACTTAGCTGCTGTTAAATTGCCATCAATAACAACCAACAGTGATTTTAACCCGTGTGAGATTCCTCCCTACACCATTACTGAATCGCCCCCAAACCTGTCCCTCTCTACAACGTCGGTAGACACGTTGACGGCCGTCAGATCGATAAAGACAGAATCGAGACTCGTCCGTGAAAAAAACTTGTCTCCACTGCCTCAATGGAAACCGTCGTGGAGCATGTGCAGCGACCCAGGCCATACGACGCTGACGTCGAGCAAGGGTAAGGTGTGGACCTACGTAGGGGCGACGTGCTCTTACACCAACTTCTCGTAATCGATTCCCTACAGTTTTTGAACTTATAGGACGCCCATGATTTCCATGGACATTAAGTGCACTCTCAACGGCAGTAAGGCGCCGATTACGCACATGAGAGACGACGATATAGCGATCCTGACGTCGTGACGTTACGCGCGGACGTCCCGACCTAGGTCGATTGGCCAATCGCCCAGTTTCCCGAAGACGTCTTACAAGACGTTCTATGATGGAAACATTAACACTTAAGTGCCTAGCAACCTGATTTTGCAGCTGTCCCTACATCAGCATCTGAATGGCCTGACCCCTCTGAACTTCTGTGAGTCGTGCCATTCTTAAAACGAATCAAATTCTCATTAATTTTAGGGAAGCAGTTGGTCTGTATAAAGACTAACGAAGAGTGACTTGACCAACGCTGCATGAGACCAGAACAACACGGTGCACGAGATTCTTTTTTTCCCCCTTCCTCCATTTACCAGAGCTGCGCAATGTACCGTGACTAAATTTTCGATACATGACAAGGTGTAATATGACCTAATTACTCAATCCACAAAGTTTCACTTTATTTGGAGAACGGAATAAATATTACCCTGCGTTTTTTATCCTTTCAGTATATATTATTTAAAACATTTTCACAACAAATAACTTTGATGATTTCAAAATAGTCGACAGGGAAAGCAACCTTTTCAGACGGTTGGTTAAGGAAGCCATCTGGATACGCCGCAGCGGGTCAGTACTTAATAGGTACGAGGGAGGAAATACACTCTCTCACCTCTATGACCAAGTGTTAAACAAAGTTAGCCGAATAGACTACGGAACATTCTTACTGTCCCTTACCATCATGAACGAGTCATATATTGATTACTCTTTGGTTATGCCTTATCTAACTTTAATATTGTTGTGCACAACGCAATTCATTAGGTGTCTTTTGTACAATGTTGTGAAAACAATTGATCCGATAGACTTTCAAATACATTTATGGCTGAAATTTCATCGACTGGTCCTCACACAGATGTAGTATAAACTTGTCTTCAAATACTGTAAATCAGTCTATTTTATTGACAATTCATTTTCGCGATTCCGACATCCCAATAAGTCGTGGTCAAAACGAATAACTATAATTAGTATAATACAATAGTATTAACGCGTTTGTTGTTCATTTCTTATGCTGCGGTGAGTACATTGCGAAAAGGAAGTCGCGGAAATACACGACAAGCAAAAGAATGTCACCCATTTTTTAAGAGTTAAATTCAAATATCTATTTTCACAAGGCCTTCTCGCTGCCGCCCTGTGCCTACCTTTTATTTCACTTGCTGGCTGTGACCATGTGGCAGTCGTTACGCTCATTGTTGTGGGGAATGGCATGCTCGGGTTTTGTGGATCAGGATTTTGGGTGAACTTCCTTGATATTGGTTTTAATTTCTCAGGTAGGTACCCTGGCAAACTGGCACCTCTTTTTCTTTATTTCCAATATTTACAAGTTCTTTGCACTAGATGACAGTGTTATTATTTCTCTGTTTTCAACGATAAAATAGACATGTGCAGCTGTCCGTTGCATTGTGCTCTTGACAGTTGTTTTTAAATCGTTTATGTGCTACTAAGTAATTGTACATACATAGACATTTTAAACTTAGTTTACTCTTCGTTTATTCCTTACTTAATTTCATATTAAGTGACGAACATGTCAAACTGTACGTAAATAAAAGGCTGCACCAGAAAATCCTGAAACGATTAAACACCCTTTTAGAGTAACATTCATTATGCATTACGAATTGATTTTTATGTTGCACACCAGTAACATTACCATACGGTTAATTACGCCATGATTCACATATAAAGACATAACTAGAACGTATTAATGTTGCAGGGATAACTATGGGACTGATTAACTTTTCTTCAAACGTCGCAGGAGTTATATCCCCTTACTTTGTAGGACTTCTTACAAACAATAACGTAAGTTGGCTCCTTCCTTCCGATTGTATTGTAAACATTTCTATAAACTAATATGTATATTCTCTCGCTTATTATCAGTATTCCGATAGATAATATATATATATTTAGCTATTTCTTCACTCTTAATGGGAAAAAAAATGATGTAAAACCATACATTTCCGTGCGGCTCGCATTTCGTAATGCTCCAAAAATGTTATCTAGTTAGCATTTGATTTCAGGGATAGATGGTATACTAGAAATCTACCAGTACTGATTTAAACCTAATCCTCTACGACAACAATTGATAATTAAACAGTTCTTGTTTTATTTTTTTTAAATTTCCCATTGATTTCGTCGTATTTCTTCACACACTATCATAGCTACATTTTTTAAGATCAATAGAGTACAAAGAAAATATATAGTCAGTATCTTTATATATAGACTGTACTTTGGCAAGGGTGAGCCACGTTTGTCCTTTTGCCCCGAGCCAAAATGCAGCTTATATTTTAAGATACTTACCATGTATTCTATTTATCTTGCAACACTTAATGAAAATTCAATTGACATTACGCAATATTGGTAATGATGACGCATGCCAAAATGATCGAGGGAAAATATAGAGTTCTATACAGCAGCATCAAAAGCAATTTCATGAATTTTCGTAAATAATGTAAGAAAAGGGTATCTAAACAGTTATTTATTTTTTAATGAATATTGAAGTAAGTTAGAAAGTAATTTTGTCGAGTTAAAGTAATATTGTCGAATACAGCAAAACATGTATGTGACAGGTGAATTCTGACAACGATAGTGCCAGTTGCAGGTTGAAATGGCAAAATTGACTAGAGCAGGTTCATAGATCAAATATGTTTTGCCGCTATGGTTATTTAACATGGTTATATTTCAGGAAACCATGCAACAATGGCGGACCATTTTCTATGTATCTATGGCTTTCTATGTAGCAGGAACAGTTGTATTTCTCTTGTTTGGAAAAGGTACCGAGTCTGATTGGAACAAATTACCAAGTGACATTAATATTCAAACTTCTGGTACGACAAGCGAGGATGATACATGCAAGAGACATAACCATTGAATATTAATAAATGTAACAATGGTAGAGTATTTCTCCTGTGTTGTGTTATCAATTCAATTGTGAAAAATGTATTATGTTATTAAAACAAACATGACCAAACATGAATATCTACTAGTCTTTTTATACATTAAGTCATTGACGCTTCACCGACTAGCTCCTTTTCCGTTTTGGTTTCCATAGATGTATTTTATAAATTTAAGTAAGATAAATAAAATATAATATGTATATTCAGCTTCGCCTTCCTAAGACTAAGATCGAGTAAAAAGGAGAATATCGTGTTGGCCATTCCTGGCAAAAGATGATATAGAGAGTGAAGTGCAGGGAAACGCCACAGAGCAGAACAATCTGGTGATAATTCATAATTTATTTTTTTCTATTTATATGTCTATGTGTGCCATTCAATAGGAAAGTTTAAATGAAGAATGTTTGGTTTGTTTTCCGGCTTTGTAAAGCCAGATTAGTTTGTGTAAAGTGTCGTCCACAAGGGCACAAATACGATATCACCGGTTAATTGTCTGGGGCAAATAACCCCACATCTCGGATCTTCACCTGAGGTTAAAATAGGGTATCTCTCTACTGACTAAGCCACCACTTTCTCCTTAGATCAAGACTTTATGTAAGGCATATTAATTGGACTTTAAAAAAGCACCAAAATTGATTCGAAATTGTAAAATACGATAAATAGCAGGGATAAGTGATGAAAAGGGTATCCCTAGGACGACTACAGCTAGGATTTATGAAGGTAATGCATGCTTAAGTCTCCATATGCTGATATTGGGCTAATCAGTTATGAAAATCAAAATGCAACTGATTAATAATGATACTACATCATTCCTTTGTGTGTCAGTGACAACATTAAAATGCTATAGGTACGGGTATTCCGACCGTATTCAAAATGCCGAAAGTAATTCGTGAACGTAATGACGTTGTTGCCAATGATCTGTTGAACTTGTTAAAACACTAATGTTCTTATAAGATGAACACCCTAGTACAGTTTATGAACTATGTAATATATCTTGAATATGGAATAGAAAACATAGAGATGCACATTAATTGAAATGGTTTATTTCATCAATTTCTCTCGGAACGCGACACCGAGAGAAATAGTATGCACATGTGAATTTAACAATGTCAACGAAACACAAGGTTACATGTTCCGGAAATCATATATACGTACACCCTTACACACAAACACCACTTCACCACATTTCCTCACACACATATATACTCATACAAAAATACACACACCATCCACTAAACATATATTTTAACAATGAAATAACATATATTCAACATCACGCGTATATCCTCATGTTCCTTATCCGGTAGTGTTCATGAATGGACTTTAGCATTACAAATATTACATGTTTATTAGTGGAGTGACTATATATTACTTTGTATCCTAATACTGACATGTTATATGTGTTGTCGACAGTCAGCAGGTGGATATTACTTACTTGTTATGTCAAATGTTCAGATATTGTAGATTTTCCCCATTATCTTTCAATATACTACACATACAGGCAATCATTACATATGTTACACGTTGTCATCTTATCTCATGATAAGCCAGGCTATACTGAGTACATGTATTGTTATCTACGTATTAACAATCACGTTTTGTATTGTACAGGTAACTTGCCAATTTCAATATTGGAGTCTGGTTATTACACATTATATTCTCGTATTTTATGTGAAGATGAAATTCGTAGACATTAGAAAAAATAAAATGTAATTTTCCTATATAGTATGTTTTGATGTCATCTACGTATTTTAACACCTAAGTTGTTACATGTTAATATATAGGATCATAAAGGTTTTATCAATTTTTATGAAACGAGCCTGATGAAGCTTTCATTTTGTCGAGTCCTAGCGAGAACAAACTTAAAACTTGGAGACGAGTTTAACAAAAGATCATCAAAAATTAAACAAATTTTTGATGCTTTTTTTCACAACATGGTCCCGAATATGATATCACAATTAATGTTTGACTGGTACAGCCAATGAAAAACTCCCTGGGGTATATTATGCTAATGAGTGTATGAAAGGTATGACAAGGGCAAAAGCACTGGATAACATGCAGAGTACACTCACAGTCATACACTTCTCTTTAAATTAAACTCCAGATCACTAATATTATTATTGATATATGCTCAGGCCATCATTGTAAGACTTTAGGTACAGTGATGTTTAATGATTGAGAAATTCCTCGATTTTGTATTCTTATATAATTCCCTTTAGAAAGTCGACAAATCACATTTCGTCTTCTGTTTGTATATTTACCAAGACGATATCATGCTTATATTACATATATTAAGATCAAATTTCTCCAAGATAGCATCTTATAATTTCCGTGTATGAACCTAACATCATTTTTGGACATTCTTAAAAGTTGGTATAAAGAAATTTAAAATATCTCCTTGTTGAATCTTATAATACTGAGTAGACAACGAACATGTTAAAAACCATACGAGTTCGCATATCTTGTTTTAGGCGATTGATATCCAGTCATAGAAGATTGCTTAATTGTGATGTAATTTTCATTGGGTTTGTCAGGTGGCTTGTTCCATGGCTGTTCTGATCCTTTAGCAAATACAAGGAATATGATTGTCCCGACTATGTAAGCACCCATTGACACGTAGAATATCGTTTGCCATCGACTCATTGATTCCTGCTCGTAAAAATGTGAAATACACATCAATGATTTGGTATAAATGCTATCTTTCAATCTACGGCTTTTAATGGGCTTTTACTCAAGTACTTTTACTTAAAGAACCTCTGGGTAGGCAGAATGATAAATTTCATAAACTTTATATCTGCACTCCCTATTTTATTTACTAGTGACGTCATAATACAGATGACGCTAGGAATGGGGTCACCTGCCCGACAACGTATTTTCCCGGGTGTTTCCTCCCACAGTAAGACCTATCGCGCGCTTCCATCCGGGTTGAAATGAGTGATTAATTAAAGCTGAAAAAGCTTGAATTACACTTTTTGTAAAATATACAATGGTTAGTATTCAATAAATTTATTCAATCTCTAGTTGTATCAAATGCAAGATCACAACACAGTTTATTTAATAGTTATTAGGATAAATAAAACGATTTTAGTGATTTGATAAAATCACCTTCGTGGGGTAAGATCATGAATGACCGATTTCTCACTTTTCAAAGAAAGTTCCCCAATAAAAAGTCATTATCTTCCGGAATATATCTATTCTATTGAATTTTTATGAGTGGTTCGTGTAAACCTTTCTTTTAATAATAGTTTGCCGTGGTTGTATCAAGCTTAAGTTTAAATTAAGATTCTGTAGAAGTGAATGTATCTCCTTATTGTTGTTACACATGGCTTGTTTGCACTAAAGAATGTATGAAAACATTAATACCAAACATGACGATGATTTGTATCTAATATTAACCTTATATGCATACAAATGTATAAAACACAAGTTTATTCTCCATGTACGTTTTCAGAAGTCTTCATAGTTTGTCCTAGCTTTATTGACTTTCAGTTCGGATAAAGATAATGGTGACATGTGTCTCCTTGGTTTTGATGCAAAATTGTATAGTTAGTTACTTACGTGGTTATTTGTCATTAATCCAACAAAATACGGAGAAAAAACGGCAGGTATATTCGAAGAAAAATTAGATAAACCCATCAGTATTCCTGTAATATATAACATAGTGATAACATTGGTTTATGATTTTGTTAACATGTTGGTATTTCTTATTGGTTTTTGTTCTTAAAAGACTTCATCATTATTTTTTCTGCCTTAAGGAAGCGAAAATTTCAGTTGCATTAAATGGAAAAATTAAAAATACTAATAACCCATTAACAATCCGCTATCCAGTATTGAATATTTTGAGTTTAGCGAACTCATCTTTGTTTCAAAAATAATTTTACCTATTAGATGTCAATGTTTTAGGTCAATAGCAACACTTACGCATTATAGAAGGAAGAAATAGCTAAGGGATACAGTAAATTTGCCATGTTTTCCGTCATTCGTTGCTTTAGATAACTGACAAGCATTGTACAAAAACACAAAGGTATAAAAATTTGCAATGGAAGTTTACAATTAGCTAAAGTACCACTAAATGATAAAAAGAACCAGCATATGACTATTGGTCTATTGTAATGCTAACGGTTCAAATCAAGCACAGGAGATAACTTCATTATATATCTATTCATTCGGACACTACTTACCTGAATAATTGTATCCGATATCGAGAAGGTTAACGGTCAAACCAACTTGAACGAACCCTAACATTCCATTCCCAAGCACAATAAGTGCTACGACGATAACGTGTTCACATCCGGCCAAAGATATAAATGGTAAGCACAAAGCAGCGGGTACAAGACCTAAATAGGATATAAAATGTAACCATTTAAACGAATTGTATATTCCGACTATGGCGATATAGTTTTGCTACTCCGGCTATAAGTTATTAGATCATCTTTGTTGCAGCGAATGTGAGTGTTGGAAATGTGGTCAAAACGCCTACATCTTGTCTTACCTTAGTTGGTAAGTATAAAGAACAATCACTAACCGCCAACATAACTGGCAATATCTCTCTTTGTGACCCCAAATGAAATATCACGTATCAAATGTTCCATAACTACCTAAAGTGTTGAAAAGTTTCCGAACGGTGACCGTAGATAGAATCCTCTTGCTCCGCAATAAATCTGCCAAGTAACTCCCAAAAATGCTTGTTATCAAGGACATCAGCATTGGTAGGGCCATCAGTAGCCCATCCTATAGATGAATAAACAAAACATGAATAGTTCCAATACATCTTAGTTAATGATAATATGCTCGATACTCGTTAGTATGAATAATCTTTTCGGCGTTGTTAACCTGGCTCCAGTTCGAGGGCTAGAAATTACTAACGTGGATTGACCAAGATAGACATGAAGGGAAATCTTCGATGAAGTGTACAGTAAGACATTTTACCTACCGGAACACTTGTTATTTTCCTCTGGAAATGTGTACCCTTAGTTACGGAAAGGTGACTAATCATTTAATCAAGTATTTCCTTTAGATTCATGGACGTTTTTTATTGGACGTTGTCGCATTTAACATATAATGTCTTGACAATAATAAACACAACTTAAACCGAAAAGCGGTCCTGAAATTAGGCACTACCTAAGAAGCATACCCTTCTCAAATACGACATCAATAGTTAATTTCCCGGGCTAATATTTTGCGGATTTATTGAGAACATTCCTTCCCTATCCGAATATTACCCATTATAAAGTAATATTGGTTTCTGCATTGTCATATCACAATTATAAACAAGCAAACATGACATCGGTTGCCAAAATAAAATACCCTATTCATCGAGAGCAAAGAAGATATATGTAAGGCTCACTTTTGTAATATCGAACTTCTGTATTTTATTCATGTACGTAGGCAGTGTAGTATATGTGATGCAGCCACCCCAAGCCTGCAGGAAATCGGTCAGCATAATGGCCCACACTGCAGACGATGTCAAAATCGCTCTCCAAGGTGTAGGGTAATGCTTTAAAGAAAAAATATTCCGTACATCCTGTTTATTGACATAATCGCATAACGTTTCACTATTCTTTGTTTGGTGACGTCAATTAACAAATGGCGTCAAAATGGAATCAATGGGAAGGAATCTCCAGCCCATTACAGGACCTTAAGACCATATCACACATGTATAATAACACAAAAACGGAGTTATTGCACTGATGAAAGGGTACAGTTGTATGAAGGTATGAAAAGGTGTGAGCAATGTCTCACCGTTGCTTTCTTTACAGATGCGGTACTTTCGATAAACAGTCTCTCTGCTGCTGAGATCCGTGTGTGATCAGATGGCGTTTCGAATATCAGAAAGTTCCAAAACACGAACCATATTACAGCTGTTCCACCTAAGTAATATATAATACACCATCCTAACGGAAGTGGATTCCCGGAATAATCATGAAATGTTAATGTTGAATGGATAGAGGTTTATGTTTTTATGAATTTTATTTACTTTAATTTCGATATTTTAAAGTGAGAGCAGGGGTCCTGATATGATTATATGCCACTAACAGTAAACTAAATATTTTGGAGGTTCTGGTGAAATATAATAATGAGTGAGCTTTGAGGTTATTTTATTTTATCCTACCTATTTCACCATTTCAACATTGATATGAATACAGAAATAACTTTCATAAATTTATTTTGGCAGAAGCGGAGATAAGAAACATATCTATTATAAGCCGTTATGTTACCAAATATGTAGAAAACGGAGGGCCATCCACCTAGGAAATCAGAGTCGCACAAATATCCGGCAACCGGCATGACGACGAGACTTCCGAAAGTGGCACCTACAAATAGCAATGCTGTTCCTGGTCATGTCGTTTAGTCTATTTCCATCTTCATTACCTGACCCCTACATTCCGAACACTGTTGTTCTGGTCATGTCGTTCAGTCTATTTCCATCTTCATTACCTGACCCCTACATTCACTGTTGTCTGGTCATGTTCAGTCTATTTCCATCTTCATTACCTGACCCCTACATTCCGAACACTGTTGTTCTGGTCATGTCGTTCAGTCTATTTCCATCTTCATTACCTGACCCCTACATTCCGAACACTGTTGTTCCTGGTCATGTCGTTCAGTCTATTTCCATCTTCATTACCTGACCCCTACATTCCGAACACTGTTGTTCCTGGTCATGTCGTTTAGTCTATTTCCATCTTCATTACCTGACCCCTACATTCCGAACACTGTTGTTCCTGGTCATGTCGTTCAGTCTATTTCCATCTTCATTACCTTACCCCTACATTCCGAACACTTATCGACATTTTATCAATACTTGTATCTGTTAAATAGTGTAATATACTGACGTGTTATGAAATAGGAGACGAATTGATAAAAATCATTGTCTCTATTTTTTATCAACCGCACCATTTGGGTTTTTTTTTATTGTTTATCAAAATATCTTAAAAACTAGCTCGGCAGATACTGGGTGAAATAACTTGTACACAATGCAAACATTTTGTCACCTGCAGTAGCAGGAATACGTAACAAAAAACATACTGAACTAATTACGGACACTTCTATCCGAAATTGACAATTGTTTGCCTTACACAAATTTGTCATGTTGATATTTTCTTGGTGTTTTTTATACAAGCACACAAATCACACATTTTCGAAAAGTAACAACTACAACGATTGTTACATTCTCTCAAAGATAAAATGGTGCAATAACGACGCACTTGGAAATTGTCCCCTACAAAATGCGATATAAAATATAGCTGTAATAAAAAAAAAATTGGAAAATTCATAAGACGTTTCAAAGATCAGTTTACAATGTAAATATATTTCTTTGATGATCATCCCCGATCTTTAAATGATCAAAGACATTAATAGAATGTAAAATTACATGTCACGCATTAATCGTTGAATAATATTTAAACGACCGTGATTCAATTGCTGGGAGTCATTAAACACAACGTCCATGATTAACTAGAGAGTATAATTGTCATTATCGTACAATCATGTGTTTAGTAAAGATGTTTTAAGTCCTGAGGAATTCAAAACATGAATGTAATACACTAGTGAGCCTATCCGATTTTACCAGAGCTGGCGAAAACAGGTAGGACGCTTCTTTCCTTCTCCGGTGTCCATTTCCCTTGCATTGTCGAAATTGCTGGAAACGTCATACCCTACAAAGTTAACCTTTTACAATACAATGGTATCATTTCGTAATTGATGGTGCAAAGTAGAATTTCTAAAGCCATTCCATAACGATTTTTTTATCTTCAACATCTATTCTGTTTATGATTTTAATAACTGAATTATTATTATCATCAATATATCTTCTTAACGGCCCATCAACACATAAATGTTCATTAGGGCCATCAAACGGTAAACACACAGCGATCCAAAAGGAAATAACATTAAACAAACCGAAAGGTAAATGACAAATGATAAAAATCTTTTAAATGGTTATGTTAACACAAAAGATTAAAATGGAACGTCATAGTCTATTATATAGACCAACATCTTTCAGGTAATGTAGAATTTTACAAATATATCAACAGTTTCAAAAGGGATTTTAGACATGAATTGTTACGAGAAAAACATTCTCGAGTAGACAGAAGGTCAATGCAGTCCAATAAAAAATGAAAAACATACGATGGATATAATAAGTTTAGATATATACATATTAAGTGGTATGATCATCTTTGTATTTAATCAACATACGATTTTGTATGAAAGTTCAAACGTACATTTTCTCATCTGATGCAAGATGCTTTGTAATTTAAATTATCATCAGATTGAAATACCAATGTAGATAAATCTTTATCCTTTTTTTCTTATAATAGATGTGATATAGTCATTTTCAAAAATTAACACCGACGTCAATTATAAAATCATTACGGAAACTACTCTGCTGTACCTACCTCAGCTAATCCTTCAATAATCCTGCAGACAATCAGTGCCCATGTGCCTATCCTAGCAACCAAAGGTGTTAACAATGTCAGAATGGCAGTAATCAAAATTCCACAGCCAAAGATATGCTTTCCTCCAAACTTTGTCGCCAAGTATCCTCCGGGAATTTGTGTTGCGGCGTAACCATAGAAAAATGCGCTGAGAATAAGCCCCTGAGTACTCTCATCCCAGTCGAATTCAACAGCCTGTATAAATAACCATGACGTCTTGATGGTATTTTAAGATTAGAAAACCTAACCTGATCCAGTGAATATGATACTATCAACTTAAAAAAACATAACTTGTTTTGCATTGTCTTTTCACGTATTTCGGGATTGACTACATACACTATATGTCAAGTAAACCTAACATCTATCTCCGTCATAAGCCACGAATGATAAACACATGGAATTAATAACCGATTATATACTTTTTTATATTTACAATGGTTTTCGATGAGGAAATAAAAACTATGTCAACTATGACAGATTAATTTCCTGGGTTTGAAAAATATAAATCTTTCTTTTTTTTCCAACGTGATTTATTTACTCATAAAGATGTACAGTTTAAAACAAATATCGAGGTACCTGTTTGTTAGTGAGTTTCGTGTCGTTTAAACTCGGGCTCGGGCACACATCCATGTCCGTGTTATTTACATCGGACTTGGTGTCTGTATGATTTGCCATGGCTACTATGGCAACGCTCAGGTTAAATCGGAGGGCATATATGTGGAAATATCCGATAAAAGACAAGATTGTGAATGTATGTCGGGCGCCATACCCTAAAATAAAATCAAAATTTACATACGGATGGAAACTGTTATCATCTCTCACATCTATTGTCTTTACTCATCAAATATTTGCAAAACACTACTTCTTATTGAATGGAACCCTCCACATATCGATATTGATATTGCATGTACGTGGAGAATGATGGGGACGATTTCTGAAACATATAAAGGGCATTCAATAGTTTCCATTTAATATCATATATATCATTTGAAATACAGAATGTCTCTATTTTCGCGAGGGCGAAACGAGTGAAAATAGATATTTTCTGTCATAGGAGTGAAATGTATACGAGGTTAAATTGGATTTTCAATTAGAAATTTTCAAATTAGAAATCGAATTTGATATTGTTTGATCAAAACGAAAACGTCCGATCCCTGATCTAAACGAAAACGTCTGATCCTGATCTAAACGAAAACGTCCGATCCCTTATCTAAACGAAACCGTCCGATCCTGATCTAAACGAAAACGTCCGATCCCTGATCTAAACGAAAACGTCCGATCCTTGATCTAAACGAAAACGTCCGATCCCTGATCTAAACGAAAACGTCCGATCCCTGATCTAAACGAAACCGTCCGATCCTGATCTGATCTAAACGAAAACGTCGGATCCTGATCTAAACGAAAACGTCCGATCCTTGATCTAAACGAAAACGTCCGATCACTGATCTAAACGAAAACGTCCGATCCCTGATCTAAACGAAAACGTCCGATCCTTGATCTAAACGAAAACGTCCGATCACTGATCTAAACGAAAACGTCCGATCACTGATCTAAACGAAAACGTCCGATCCCTGATCTAAACGAAAACGTCGGATCCTGATCTAAACGAAAACGTCCGATCCTTGATCTAAACGAAAACGTCCGATCACTGATCAAAACGAATATGTCCCCGAACAACGATAATGTATAACATAAATCAAACCTGTTTAATCCGTGATTCGTAAACGAAAACTATCCTGATCTAAACGAAAACGTCCGATCCTTGATCTAAACGAAAACGTCCGATCACTGATCAAAACGAATATGTCCCCGAACAACGATAATGTATAACATAAATCAAACCTGTTTAATCCGTGATTCGTACTACGTAGTAGAAAGAGTAATGAGCAGTTATAAAGCACAACACATTACAAAGTTCGTGACGTCATGTAACATAGCCTTTTACATGTCAGTACAACCAGTGTTAACAGAAGAACGGGAAAATTATGTCATTGAGAAATATTCTGTTTCTGTGTGCGATATTAGCCTAGGCGTGATTGATGCTCGTTAGTTTGCCTGATGCTTCCGTTGTTGAAAAACCTTATTAGCAAACGTGACATTGGATTGATGATAAACAGAAGACGCTTACTCTTTCTGAACACTTGGGTCTTATTGTCCTTTTACTTTGTCAGTAGTCGCCATGTAAATATGTATTTTGTTTATATTTTGATCTAGATTGAATGAATTTAAGTTTGGATCATGGCTATGCTGACTATGACACATGTCATCTTATTATTTATTTCCAAGCTTTAAATAACTGTTGTAGAAAACGTTTTTACAGATACTGCATAATCTTATATTTCCGTGGGGTTAAAATTTTGTGGGTTTTCAAAGTTATACATTTCCACTAGCATTTCGTGCTTAAATCGTGCTTACGAAATCAATTAGTAATATTTGAAAATACAACTTTATCTATTTAATTTACCTTGAGATTTTGAGTATCCACGAATTCAATGAAAATAAATTCCCCTAGAAAATTAATTATTTCACAGTAGACGTTCTTAGATTTATAAAATGGACTGCTAAATGTCATTGACATACTATAAAACACGTTGGTTTCACGTTGATAGTGATGTCCATATCTATAGAGGTCAAGCTGATATGTAAATCTTCTATATCAGTCTTGTTTCTATTGTTACACATAATACAAAATCTGATTAATAAATGCTACACTGTTCTTTGAAGACACTAAACATTCTTCAATGCTGCGTGTTTCTCTCGGCCATCCATTCCACACCATATGTAATGTGTACACATTTTTTTATATTCATTCAAATCAAAGTTCATTATAACAATGCAATAGGTGAAATGGTCTTCTTTTCTGACATATTACGAAAAACTTCATTTTTCCTTCGTTTGACTATATGACATTATACAGCATATTTGTGACAAGCACATATCAATGAATACTTACCATTATGAATTCGGGCGTTCTTCTTTCTGGATGTTTTAGTATCGAGTAAACTCTCTTTCTCGTCGTCTCTGTTAATCGAACCCATGACCTTGGTGCGTTATGCGTAATTTCAAGACATGCCTGATATTTCTTACATGTACAACGTTTTTTAACCCTTTGGTTATATATGTGTTGCACCTGTTAAATACATTCTGAGTACTAAATATTCAAATGTATGTATACTTTGTTATCGTGTGTATTTAAAGTGACCTAGTTTGTACATGTATTGTGACTTCCGCTTGCAATTATATATTATCTTATTCATTGACATAAGAATCGCTTTTGAAAAAAAAAAAAAAATAATAATAATAATAATTTTTTTGTGAGAATTGTATATCTTGATTAGCAATGTATGATGTTCTTAATGAAGTAATAAAGCATGTTTAACATTTTGACAAATTTCGCAGAACATGTTGCTTTAATCATTCGCTGTTATCGAATAATTGCAACTGCGATATCAGTGATGAAGCCAAGCACTAAACACACACACACACATATGTATAATCAATGAAGTAATAGCGACAATACAGACAAGCGGGTTGTCAAATTCTCGAGGCAATCTGTACCTATACATCACATACATATAATATAAAACAAATTCAAAGTTATAAATCTAAAACGAGAGTGGTGGTGTAAATGTAGGCGTCTCGATAATCCCTTCCGCCGATGAACACCGAAGGCCCTTTATAACGGACAAAATACCATCCCTAGTTGTTATATGGAAGGTGGTGATTAAAATATAAAAAAATGTTTGAAATAAATTTCGGTATGTTTTGCGCTCAAGACACTGAGCGTATATGTGATTGCAATGAAAACAATTGCATGTCGCACTCAGACGAAAGTAATCTACCGAGACATTTCAGCCACATTCTAAATGTGGAATTGTTTGATTAGATTAAGAAACCTTGTTTTAAAAATATATAAAATGTATGTGAAGTTACTATAAAAAGTAATCTGATAAAAACAACACCATTTAAATACATATATATATATATATAAATATATATTATTTAGGATATTGGTCAAGTAGTCCTCAGATTCGTCAACTCGTCCAAAGAAAAGTCGCCCATAAAAAGTTTCTACTTCCGGGCTAGAGTTAATCTCGAAAACGAAGGAAAGCAGAAATAGAAACTAAATAAAAAGTGAAAGGGGCCGAATAGGTGGCCTCAATGGTAGCATGAGATGTACCGGCTGCCAGGTATGTATGTCCGGACCTGTACATGCCGAGTGGGTAGCAGGTTTGGAGTTGGTTGATCAAGTGTCGTTCCTTACTGAGGCGTTCCTGGTCACCCCAACTCCTGCAGTGGTCAATGGGTACCACCTGTATGTCATGCCACGAATAACTTGGCATGTTGAAATGCTTCTTTTTATTAGAATATCGGTGATAGTTGATACTGTATTAATAGTATCTTCCACTACCCTGAGGGTGAGACTGTTTTCCTCATCCTACCATTTACACCTACTCTCACCAAACTTCCTACTTTGAAGTGCATGATTGATACAACTCCTGTTATGTGAAGTTTGAATTTGCTTCGGGATACCGATATAATCATATCATTGCTTACATATGTCAGAAAGTGAATTTTAGGAAAGCTTGCTAGCTACTAGTTTATTATAATTGAGGTATAAGAAGTTACATATTACACGACAAAAATGAGAGTAAATCATCTTTTCTCTCTAGGAAAAAATATTACTTATTTACTAATCTGTGAGTATCATTCATGATATGACGTTTTAATGAACAGGAGCTACACAGATCGTAAACTGACTTAAAATGATGAGTTTTGCTTCACTTCAACATATACCTGTTCCTGATCTCTTACATATTGTAGTAGGCGGGCTCAGGAGATGAGAGTTTGCCACACAAATGACTTCGCGTTGTGTATTTTTAAAGTGTACAAATGTACAAGGCCAAAATCGAGTTACTAAACAGTGGCCAACAGTCAACTCCCAGGCACACCTTCCGGTTCTTTTCTCCTGATTAGTCGAAGTGTTAGGAAAGACCCACAACAACGCCAAGATTCAAGTTCCACTATTTAATTGTCAATGGAATATCAGCGAATAGTGCCGGAGCAATAACAAAGTATAGACAAAAATAAACAATTTAACATCAAAATCAGTCAACCAAGGTGTAAAAAGCCAGCAGAAAATCTAACAAAATTGAGGTTTTTTAATGTAAAACCAATTTTCATGATGTAATACTTACCATAACTTTAGTATGCAAATACAGTACCTACACCCATCTTTGTATCCCAACAACAAAAGATTCAAAAGAAAAACAATCCCGCCCTCCCTACGATCCATGAGCCATCACGGCAGGAACGCAGAGTGATCTCCCTTCCTCTAATAACCTTTATGGCGTAAACCCCACAGAGGGGCAGCCAGGCAGATAAGGAAGAGGGGAGGATAGGGTGGGACTCCATAAAGTTATGGTAAGTATTACATCATGAAAATTGGTTTTACATTAAAAAACCTCAATTTCATTTCAGTAATAATTATCATAACTTTAGTATGCGAATTCGTCTTACCGTAGTGGTGACTAGAAGCCAGGCAGCCCCTTCAGCACAACCAAAGTAGTAGGGAGGGAGAACAGAGTGCTAAAGTGAAGGAAGGGACCTCTCTGTGAAAGAGCAGGTGTACCCACATGCCGCCGTACGGAAAGACATGGCCCGGGGCTAACGAGGAGGCCCAGCCACTGACTATGCCACCACCAAAGGTCCCAATGAATACAGGCCTTCTGAGTGGGAAGCTAGGGATCACAGATAAAAATCTGTTAAGGTATCCCTGCCCTGCCAGAATACTGCAGACATGACCTCCTGAAAGGAGGACTCATTGAGAGAAGGGCCCAGGATGAAGCAAGGGCCCTGACCTCGTGAGACCGCGCTTTCGCTCTCGCCAGAGCCAGATCATCAAAATGCTCGTAAGCATACTAAATCACCTGGCAAACCCACCTGGAAACCGACTGGGAGGAGATATCTCGTTGCCCCTGTTTAATGGGCAAAACAGACGGGATCGAGAGCCCCCCCCCTGGTTTTATCAAGATAAAACCTAAGAGCCCGACAAGGACAAAGCAACCTATCTCGCTCCTCCAAGCTAGTCACAGCCAGGATCCTGATGGGATCGTGCGAGAACCCCGGAACCTGATCCTTCGCTAAAAACAACTCTATTCATAGCAAAGCCTCTGATTAGGGCAGAAAGAGAGGAGGACTAACCGATCTCCTTCCTGCCATAACAAGCAAGAACTCTGGCAATAGCTGTACGATAGCCAGCAATAGTGCCAGGTGGCAGATAGCGGTACCTAAACAGAGAGATTAGGAAGTCCGCAATCAAATGCAGAGGCTTCGAATGAATAAGCTTCCTTGCCGACACACCAATCACAGAAGATCATCCAACGTGACTGGTAGACGGCAGAAGAGGAAGCCCTGATTGATTGCTCAATGCAATCTGACACCTCTTGAGAAAAGCCTGCCTTGGCGTGGCTTCCAGAGATAGCCTCAGCGCGTGAAGGTGGAGGATCTCTGGTCAAGAGTGTGTCGTTCTGGGCCAAGGCTGGCGAAGGAGATTCGGTCTGGTGGGGAGAGCCAAGGGCTCCTCCACCAGAAACGACAAGAGCTCCTGAAACCAAGCTTGCCTCGGCCACAGAGGGGCTCTCAGAAGTAAGGAGCAGTGATGCTCCCAGAACTTCTGTAGAACCCTGCCCACCAGGTTGAAGGGAGGGAATGCATATGCATACGTCCCTTCCTATTCCAGAGAAGGGGCGTCCACAGCCCACGCCTTACGGTCTGGGACCGGGGAGACGAAGGTTAGCAGCTGGTTATTCAGGGAAGTGGCAAACAGGTCTATAATAGGTCTGTCCCACGCCTGACAATTCCCCTTGAAAATCAAGGGACACAGCTGCCATTCCGTCAACACCGGCTGGTGGCACCTGGAGAATGGCCACCAACACACTCAGCCTGCCAGAAAGATGCTTGACCGCTATGGTCAACTGCATGTCCTGGCAGAGAAGAAGGATGTGGATGGAGAGGGCACACAGGACATGAGACCTGGTGGCCCCTGTCTCTCCAGATACGCGACAACTGTTGTCGGTAGCCACACTTTGGACTGCAGGATACCCCTAAAGGACTGCAGAGCCAAATGAACAGTCTCATCTCGAGTACACTGATGTGCTCCGAGAGTTGTTCGCCAGACCACTCCCCCAAGCGGCATTGGCCATCGAGGTAAGCTCACATTCCTGTCATGAACGCGTCCATGAACAGGATCATAGAGGGGATAGGCTTGGTCAGAGGTACCCCGTGGAAAACGTTCTCCTGAATGGTCCACCAGCAACAGAACTCCCTGACCGACTGGGTAAGCGGGATCCAGGCCTCCTGGATGACGGAACCCAGTCAGACAGGAGGAACATCTGGAGAGGTCCTATGTGAATCCTCCCTAGGGGGACCACATATGCCAAGGAGTTGAGATACCCCAGAAAACTGAGGAACCAATGTACCTGGACAAGCGACCAAGTGATGAAAGTCAGAGCCAGAGCCCTGACCTTCTCAAACTTCTCCAGAGGTGGAAGGGCTAAGCCCCGAACCATGTCAAAATGGTTCCCCAGGAAGAAGAAGTCCTAATATGAAGGAACCTCTGACTTCTCTCTGGAAGGAATGAAGCCGACTCTGAGCAAGAGTTTCAGGACCAGACGAGTGTCCTTCACTAACGATTCCCACACCAAAAGAGGCATGAGGGAGTCGTCGAAATAGATGTGGACGTCTATTCTGCGTGAGTGAAGGAAACACCAGCAGCAACTTGGTGAACACCAAAGGAGCTGTCGTGAGCCCCAAGGGCATCTCTGCCTTGGCAGCATGGTCCCTACTTCCTCCTGGAGCACCCGTGCCCTTTCTGAATCCCCGGGAGGAGGAAAGAAACAAAAACGGCCAGGAGGCGAGGGACGAATCCTGAAGAAGGGGAATACCTAGACCCTCCCTGACCACCGACAAAAGCCCAAGCGTCCTCTGTAATATCCTGCCACTGGGAAAGGAAAGCAGAGAGACGTCCGCCCACAGG